GGACTCAAGGTACCAAATATGACATTGTATTATGATGCTGTAGTATTGACATTGATTAGCGACTGGGTGAATTTAACAAATACAGAAATACTTCATTTGGAAGGCTGGGACCTACTTTTTGGATGGCATGCCTACTTAATATTTAATAAAAAAGTGGATTGGGTTTTTAAGTCTCATATTATAAGAAACTCTTTGCTAAGAGTGTGGAGAAAGTATTATAAAAGTGACTTCAAAATACCATTATGGGCTATACCTCGGCATGCCATAGAAGGTATAAGGAAAGGGGTAAATATGGACAAGGTCTCTTACGTACAGTTACTAAGATGGGATGGCCAAGACTGGCAGTTAAAATCTTTGGAAGAATTAACACATGAAAATTTAACTTATTCATGGTTCCAATATAGACAAATAGTGGATAGATGGAAGATGGATTGTAAAATGGGCTGGCTTAGAGAAGATGAAATTTTTTTAAAACAAGTAAGAGATCAAAGGCCAACCCATATTAAGAGAGTTTATGGGGTTTTAGTGGAATTAGATTCAGAACTTGAACTAGTTAAAGATTGTATGATTAAATGGGCACAGAATATTGGTGAAACGATTTCAATGGATACTTGGGAACTTATTTGGATAAGAAATGTTAAATTCACACAAGCGCAAAATTTAAGAGAGAATTTTTATAAGATGTTTTATAGATGGCACCTTGACCCAAAGAAAATGTCCATTATGTACCCTAATCTACAGCCGAAATGCTGGAGATGTGGATATTTGGATGCTACTTATTACCATATTTGGTGGACGTGTAAGCATATAAAAGCTTTTTGGATTAAGATATGGTGGAATATTCAAAGAATTTTTAAAAGGAGGGTAAAATTTACTCCGCAATTATTTTTACTAGGTATTGTTATTGACTGTGATGCTAAGGAGGTTATATTGATGTTAAATTTGATTACAGCCGCTAGGTTGTTAATAGGACAATATTGGAAGAAGGAATCTTTGCCTACTTTACAAGAATGGTTTCATAAAGTTTCGTATTTGGCAGAAATGGCAAAGATTTCGGCTTTCCTAAAGGAGCAATCTCAAGAAAAAATTTTTGCGGTATGGGAAAAATGGATAAATTTTATACAACATAATTTGGATATGGAAAAATATTATTTAGCCTTTTTATAATTTGTAATGATTGTTTTTTCTTTCTTTCTTTCTTCTTTTTCTTTTTTATATATATACATTTTTTACGTATTATTATTCATATATATTTTTTTTTATATATATATATGCTTTATTCTTCGTCTACTTTCTTCTTTTTTCTTTCTCTCTCTCTCTTCTTTTTTTATTTTTATTTTCTTTTTTAGTATATATTATTCATTTTAAAGTTTATGTTATGCATATTATTATTATATATATTATTACTGTGATTATTATTATTATTAATTATTTTATAAATTGCAAATGTTATTTTTAAAATATTTCTTAAATAATCCTATATTCAGTTCTGGGAAGTCGGGGGGGGGGTGGGGTGGTTGGGGAGGGGAGGGTGGATTCTTATTTGTAAAACTTTTGAAAAATTTTAATAAAAAAAAAAAAAAAAAAAAAAAAGCCCTGCTTATGACCGTTTTTCACACTCATGACCTTTGCAGCATCCCCGTGGTCACTTGGATCAAAATTCAGATGCTTGGCAACTGACTCATATTTACGAGGGTTGCAATGTGCTGGGGTCCTGCGATCACCTTTTTTGCAACTGGGGAAGCCAGATTCACTTAACAACCATGCCAAGAAAGATTGTAAAATGGGGCAAAACTCACTTAGTAACTGTCTCACTTAACAACAGAAATGTTGGGGTCAGTTGTGGTCATAAGTCGAGGACTGTCTGTAAGAAGAATCTCCGCCTTTGGTTTGGTGTTTCTTAGCTTACAATTCACCGGTTGGTATCTTTCTTTCATTTTTTTAAAAAAGATTAAATATTAAATAGAAGTCATTCCCCTGTACGGAACAGAGAAGAGCTCTATAGGTAGTCCTCAATTTACAACCACAATCAAGACTCAGATTTTCTGTTGCTAAGTGAGACATTTGTTGAGTAAACTTTGCCCCATTTTACGACCTTTTTTTGGGGGGGGGAGAGAAATTTTTATTGGTTTTGTAGTTTTTAAAACAAGATGCTCAAGACACACCGTGGTGTTAGGGTAGTCAAACATCCAAAGACAAAACATATATACATAATTCAGTCAATACATCTAGTATTTCCTCTCTTTTTCCCTTAGGTAATATAATTTATTTAAAATAGTTCAATTCTAGCTTAAATTTATTCAACTTATACCTGATTTTAAAACTTTAGAAATTTACACTACCATAATCAAATTAGCTTTAGGTACAAATATTATCAATTTCGGTATCCCTTCCAAATATATTCTAGTTCCTTGATTTTATCATAAATCTTATTTAATTCTTCTTCCACTAATATCCCTTAATTAAAATAAAATATTAATCTATCCTATACGTATCTAGTCCATCAATTAATCAATCTCTCTAAGCTGACAGAAAAACATCAAATCTTAAGTCATTTCAATCCATTAAACAGAATTCAAATTACATCCAGTTAATTGTCATAACTAATAACATCCATGTTATCAAACAATCTAATCATCTTATTAGATTAACTCAATATTACATAATATTTTTCTTACAAGTAACCCTATCGTCCTAAAAAAAAGAACACACTCTTAATCAATTTAATATATATTTCCATTAATCACCCCCTTTTCTCTTACTTCTAACTCACAATCTTAATCCTAAAATCAACTCATAATTCTAGATTAATCCATTACCTAAAGTATCTCCTTTTTAAGTTAAAATATTGATCTATCCTAGACCTATCTAATCCATCAATCAATCTCTTTAAGCTGACAGGATAGCATCAAACCTTAAATTATTTCAATTAATTGAGCATCAAACAAATAAATCATTTTGTTAGTGATAGTAATTTTCATATAGATAAACTTTATATATCTTCCATTAGTCGCCCATTGCTCTTACATCTAACTCATAATCTTAGTCCTTAAATCAATCCATAATTCTAAGTTGCCTTTAGTCCATTACATAAAACTTTAACTTTCACTTTTTTTCAGTCTTATTCTGGGTTTCTTCTTATGCCAAGTAGGTTTCCATAGTAGAGCTTCCCTTCCTGCTGATAAGTCTCTCTTTATTGCTTATAGTATGATTTGAATCAGTGAGAACCATCTTAGCCTCTGCATTGGCCCTCTGACTCTCTTAACCATAAAGTCTCATTGCTTTAACATTTCAAGTCTCAGTCTTTCTTTTTCTGGTCCTCATTACCATAAGTGAATTGCTTATAAGGCAGAATCAATTTCTCTTTATTCTCAGTTAAGCCCTTTTCTTGTGTAATCTGTTTTATAGAAGAATCAGGTGTAGTCTGAAAGTCAATTTTGAAGTTAAAGGAGAGATTCTGTTTCTTAATTCTGTAGTAAGCTCTTGCATTGTAGCACATATTTCTTCTTTAGCCTCACAGATCTTTTCCAGAATAAGTTTACAATTTAAATGTGAGTGCAACTCCATTTTAAAAATTGTTCAGCTGCCTCAAATTATCTTTCTCTTGAAAAACAGTTTGAAGGCCAAAACCATCTCCTCTCCAGATAGACAATAATTACAATATTAGCTTTTAACCAATAGATGTCCTCAGTGAGCTAAGAAATCTTTTTCAAAAGTCATTTTTTTCTTTTCCCTTTTTTTATTTTTTCAGGGAAAGATGGAGGAAGAAATACTCAAAAAAAAAAAAAAAGGTAAAGCAGCATAGACTGATAGCAGAATTCTTAGGAAAAAATTTTTCTTGTACCCCAAAACATATATATGTAAAAAAAACATAGTCTTTAAAGTTTGTTATTCTTTTGTTCACCTTTCTTCCCAGACATATAAAAGCTGCCTTTCCAAGCCAGGGAAATAATTCCAACAGGCAAAAACAAAAAAGCATAAAGAGAGGGGGAAAAAAAATCTCACCTGGATTCACCATGGTGGGTTTTCAAGCTTAGCTGTTCTTTGACTTGCGGTTTCTAGCGGCTGAGTGATCGGCCATTTTACTGGCCGATCTTCTTCTCCTCAGAGTTGGCCCGGACAACTGGAGGAGCCGCCACTTCTCCACAGCCAAGCGAAGCCTCTTCGACAGAAGTCGCACCCTCCAGGGCAACTTTAGACCCACATAAGGGTCTACCAGCGGAGGGAGGATGCTGATGAGGAGATGAGTCTCTTCGTACGACTAGGAGCGCCGCAACCCAGAACCGGAAGTCACAACCTTTTTTTTATGCAGTTGTAAGAGAATCACTGCAGTTGTTAAGTTAGTAACAAGTTTATTAAATGCATCTGGCTTCCTCATTGACTTTGTTTGTCAGAAAGTCACAAAAGGTGACCACATGATTCCAGGACACCTTTATAAATATGAACCAGTTGCCAAGCGGACTATTTTTGATCACATGACCATGGGGACACAGCTGTTGAGTGAGTGGCACCCGACTGGATGACCTTTTTTGTCATTGTTAAGTGAATCACTGCACTTGTTAAGTGAATCACTCGGTCATTAAGTGGATGCAGCTTTCCCTATTGACTTTGCATGCCAGAGGCTGCCTGGGAAGGTCACAAATGGCAATCCCATGAGCCCAGCATGCCGGTTGCCGTTTACCCAAATTTTGATCAGGTGAACATAGGGATTGTCGGGATGGTTGTAAGTGTGAGGACTGGCCACCGATTCTCTTTTTTAGTGCTGTTGTTACTTCAAATGATTGCTAAACGAATGGTTGCAAGTCAAGTGCCATCCGTACAGATCAGTGGAATTTTGCTTCCTGATGAAATCAAAGTTCTGTTTGGTCTTAGCACTCTCCCAAAGACTAGAAACTTGATTTACTTAGACTAAAAATATATAGATAGCAGGTCTGTATCCAATGCTACTTCCCTTGAAGTAAAAGATACTCTCCAGTCTGAAAGGCCTTGGTCTCTTTAAGGGCTTCTGGACCAGATTCTTCCCGGCATCTGAAAAAATCCGTAATGTCCTGTGCCAGAAATCTCTTGGAAATTTAAAAGTGCTCCGAGCTCAACTAGCTGTTCGGATGGACAATATTCCAAGGCTGCTGGAGAAGAAACTGGGCGGAGGTGTCATCCTGGATTTGGGCTGTTACTGCATCCAGTTTGCCTCTATGGTTTTTGGGCCTGAAATGCCCCAGTCGATTCTGGCCTCAGGACTGCTGTATGAAACAGGTAAATGTCTGAGTCTGCTCCTGCAGGAAAGGAGTTAATGTAAAGGTGGCTTGGTGGACTCTGATCAGAAGGAACCTTGGAGGTCCTTTAGTCCACAGCTCCCAAACCTTTTGGGCACCAGGGACCCGTTCTGTGGAGAAAGGTTTTTCCACGGACCAGAGAGTGCATGGTTTTGTGTGCTGCCTGCATCCCATGGATGGGGCTTTGCTTGTTTGTGCGGACCGGTTGTTGGCATGCCACAGCCCGGTACCAGTCCACGGACCGTGGGTTGGGGACCCCTGATCTAGTCCAACTGGCTTGAGGGAGAGGAACGAGACAACTCACCACAGCCAACTTGCCATGGGACAACTCACTGCGGAACAATTTAACAATTTTATTTCATTATTTGAAATAAATAAAACAATATTTTAATTTTTGTCGATCACATTTCATTGTCCCTCCTTTTGCATCCTTTCTTTAATGATTCTATTCCACTATTTCTTTGTTACTAGTGTAACTTTTCTCCAGCAACAAGTTGTCCTGCAGTGAGTTGCCCATGGCGAGTTAGCCGTGGCGAATTGGCCATGGCGTATTGTCATAGATCCTGAGGGAGATGGTTTAGGCAGGCAAGCTTTTCTGTGCCTTTCAGGAGTGGACGAAACCGTTTCCATAATCCTCAACTATTCAGAGAACCGTCAGGCTGTGCTTAATGTCACCATGATGATCGATCTACCAGGAGAGGCAACGATTGGAGGAACGAAAGGCATTATAAAGGTATTTGCTATGGGATGGACACAGTAAAAGTCAAGGACTTCCTTCACCAGAGTCAGATTTCAAATGCTGCTCTGGATTTGGGACAATTGAGAACTGAGTGCAGACAGAAGAGTGATTTTAAAAAGGATGGATAGTCGGAGGTCATACTGTGCCTGTCTGTCTGTGTCTGCTGTCCGTCCATCCATCCATCCATTCATCCATCCATCCATTTATTGTATGGCATATCTACAACATATTTTATTAAAAAGGAACAAAGGGGTAAAATACAAAACATAAGGCTATAAAATCTGGAATCTTAACAGGAAGACTACAAATGCATGCCAAAGTTGCAAATATAATTTTTTCCTTTGTTTGTCGCAGACAGGAAATCAGCAAAATCTTCATTATAAGCTGTTTTGACACTCTGTCACTGTGTATTGGATAGATTGATTTTTGGTCCCACATCATCCTTAAGGACTGTCACCCCCAAAAAAGGTTGTTTAATTGGGTCCAGTCACAGGTTGACTTGCCTTATGACCTGCACATGACTTCTCACATTATCAAGTTAACCAATGGATAAATTGAGCACATTAATTCCTAGGAGGACGATATGATTTTTGTGTTATAGCTCAATAAATTAATTAGATGTATTGGTTATACATAAACATTATGTTTAATGTTTTAGTATACAACACTCTGTATGTGTGTCAGAATCCAATCATATTTCATCTTTAATTATCAAATATAGAAACTCCCAATTCTGCCTTCTTTGGATTCTGCCATAAGAGGGAGAGAAGGGGGAGAACAAAGGGGCTTTATGGCCCTCACTTCCTTCAGTACACTTCAAAGAGCTGAATGCTGAATGTGTGTTTATTGTAACATCAAAGCGTTAGCACTAGAGAACCTTATCATAACAAAGCAGGATACTTGCCTTTCATGTAGTTACCTGAAGTCTCCATTCAGACGGAAGAAAGAAGAAAGGGGGTGGAATTGTGATACTTGAAACTATCACTGGAAGGGGGGTTGATTGGGTGGGACTACTGGGGAACCCCTTAAAACCTTGAATGGAAGAGCTTGAACCCCAAGTCCTGTCTAGCATGCCTGCAACCATTTTCTCTTAATAAAGGATTCCTGTTGGAAGAATTATTCCAAGAGTTCTGTCTTCTTAAGATGCAAAGTGGGGTGGGTCCTTACAATGTGTTTCAACTTGCAATACAAACACAATGCATATTACTCGAATAACGTCTGGTTGGTATTGGCTGGGTTATAAATGTTACGGTCTGCCACCTGCAGATTTGCAGAGTAGAGGTAACATGATTTCAATTTTGTCATTGGAAAGACCATCCTGTTTTTCTTCCTAGATTCCGGACAACATGAACTGCCCTACAATCATGTTTCTGAAAGGGAACCGGTGGGAATGTCCCTTGCCACCTTCTCCAGAGCCCCTCTACTTTAAGCACAATATTGGGTTTCGATATCAAATTGAACACGTCCGAGAGTGTTTGGAAAATGGTAATTTAGTAGTGGTGGTGATGGTGGTCCTCCTGGATGAGACAGAAGGTCTATTTAACCCAGAAGTTCTCCTTTGATTGATCCACATCCATTCTTTTTTTTTTTTAACACTGCATCTGTAGCATCTGGCTTATTTTAGGTGTCAACAAATGCCTCAGTAAAGATGGTATATACATACATACAAACATAAAATATATCTTCCTGCAAATTTGGGTGCATGCTATTTATGTGCAATTGGTTTACACACACTCTCACTCGATATTTTGCAACATCTCTTTTGGCACAAGTAACAGTTTCCAAGAGTCTCTTGTAATTAGCTAATCTATTTTTGTTAATTTTCCCTTCTCTATCTGGCAGAAATCTAACTTGAAAACTTCCTTGCATTCTAGAGGTTCTCAATAATATGAGACTATGAAGGACAATTCAACACTTTTACTGTTCAAGTGCAGATAGTCCTTGACTTATGACCACAACTGAGCCCAACATTTCTGTTGCTAAGCAAGACATGCTAAGTGAGTTTTGCTCCACTTCACGATCTTTCTTGCCGCAGTTGTTAAGTGAATCACTGCAATTGTTAAGTTAGTAACATGATTGTTAAGTGACTCTGGCATCCCCATTGACTTTGCTTAAAGACGAGTCAGTTGCCAAGCGTCTTGAGTTTTGATCACATAATCATGGGGATTCTGCAACGGTTGTTTAGTGTGAAAAATAGTCATAAGTGCCGTTGTAACTTTGAACAATCATTAAAAGAACTGTTATAAGTCAAAGACTACCTGCACTTGCCATCCAGAGCAGCCCCACAGCAAGATGGTGGCAAATAAACTTAACAAATAACTTTATGACTGACAGCTGATTTGGCGAAATATTCATCCTCTTCAGCTTCAATTGCTGAATATACACCATGAAGAGGTTATCTACTTCTCTTCACTAAAACCTACAATTTGAGCAGGGGCATCTCAATTTTCGTTCTGTACTCCCCTTTCTGCATTTGAAGTACTTTTCTGTCTTGACTATCTTTTTGCATTGAAACTAGGTCTTCCCTCAATGCCATGGAATATTACATCTGTTGAACCAAAGATGCTTTTTTTCACGAGGCAACTGGACTTCATTTTTCTTTGAAGATGTTTCACTTCTCATCTAAGAAGCTTCTTCAGCTCAGAGCTTCAAAGAAAAACAAGAAAGTCCAGTTGCCTCATGAAAAAAAAAATCTTTGGGATATGTATGACCTGGATGGCTGAGAATCTCCATAGACATTTAGCTTACATCTGTTGAATTTTTATTTAATTAAGTTGCTCCTCAAAACCTGCTATAAAAGTGATTCCTACTTCAGAAGACAATTTCAATTATTTCTCAGGTTGGCAACAAGCTCTAATGATCTTGTGGCTAACAAGTTAAGATGTTCCCATTTGAAGGAAAGCATAAAGCTTTTATAGTTCACACCAGGATTAAACTCTAGGAAAGAGACAGAGAATGCTTCTACGCAAAACTGAGATAGGATAGTTAGGAGTCCAGCAATATGGAGCAAACCACAAGTTTCTCCTTTGTGTGGGGTCTAAAATTTATTTATTGCTAATTCAGGTTGTATCTTGCATGCAGGTTTGAAGGAAAGTCCCATCATGCCCTTAGAAGAGAGTGAAAAAATTGCCTGTATCATGGATGAAGCACGAAAACAGGTGGGAGTAGTCTACGAACAGGACCGTGATGTGTAACGTTGAGATGGCTAATAAAATTTTCAATTCTACCAAAAGTTGCCTCTACACAATGGTTGCGTTAATTAATTTAAAATTGTCTGGTTCAGAATAAGCAAGGTCGGTTTTGGCCTGGAAAAGCATAAACTCCATGAAAATGTTGGCAGAATGTGCACTTCTAGGTTAGAACTTTAAATGATCTGCTTTTAAAGAGAGCCAATATGGTATAATGGTTAAGAAGCAGACCAGGAGCAGGGAACTCAGGTTCTAGATCAGATATGTTAAACACGAGGCCCAGGGGCCAGATGCGGCTCGCGAAGTAGTTTCATGTGGCCCGCGAAGCCATCCTGGAAACAGTGAGGGAACGGCCCCCACTGCCATGGCCCTGGCCCAGGCCATCCGGGAGCCAATGTATAATTTTGTGGTGGCCATCTATGCTGAAACACATTCAGTCTTAGCTCCACAAGGCGTCTGAAAACAGCAAGGAACCAGCCCCTGCCGCATCAGCACCGCCCCCTGGGTGCATGCTGGAGAGGTGTCACCCTTTGTGAGGAATGAAGAAATGCACCATCACCTGGAAGTGGCCAGCAAATGGCCCTGGCCTATTTCACATATTTGATGGGTCCACAATTGTATACAAAGGGGCCTTCATCTTGCAATGACTTGATTTGGGATTAGATCTTGTATCATCAAAATAAGCAGAGTTGGCAATATTATTACATTAACTTTTGAAGGACTTCTGGTAGCAATATAAAATTCTCATTAATTCATATAAGATTTCAGCATTTTTCCATAACGGAAGACCTTGCGAGATGAGATTGCTGACACTCTGAAAGTCTCTGGCCATCTTTTCACACAAGTATTTTGAGATGCTGGGGAATGGAAAAGCTGGCTAACTTTCAAAGTCAAGTCTGAAGATGCAAAAGTACAAACTTTTGATTCGAAACATATGCTTTAAATTTGCTCCAACTGTGAATCACCACTTCAGCAAAATGTGTTTTCTAGTCTTTTTTTTCCTTCTTAAAGAGTTAGATTCGCCACTTTCAATAGCCAAAAAGGAGGGGAGAATCCCTCTTTTTTCACTCAGAGGTATTTTTGCTTCTTGGGAGTTTTTTTTTTTCTTTCAGGAAAATAAGTAGGATAGAGAAAATTAGTTCTTACCCAGCTTCAAACACAGTTTACAATCAGTTTAGGTAGAGCTTCTTTGACTTCTGTTTGCTTACAACTAGGGCTAGATAATGGAGTTAGCTAGCTTTTCTTCTGTCGGTTTCTGGGAAGTTTCTCCTGGACTGATCGGAGAGACCGCCGTCTCTCCTAGGTCCCTGGAAGTACCTTTTTTCATTGCCACCTCTTCGGGACAGCTTCTGGCCCATTTATGGTCCCCAAATAAGAAGAAATTCAGCTGAAGAGCTCAGCATCGCGAGCCTTTCAGCCAATGACGCTGCTGGCCGGAACAGGAAGTCCGCATCAGCAAAATGTGAATGGGTCAGGTAGACAGCATAAGATGGTATAGTGCCCCCAATGCATTCGTTGAGAAGGAAAGCCAGCTGAGCTGTCTAAATCGATAACTAAGAAGTAACATAATACTGCTGCTGGCAACAGTTTGAACAGATAACTAATTGTTATAGTTATTCAATCATCAAAACTCATTTGGAGGCCTTGCTTCTGTGATTCAGATATGTGCCCACAATGAAAGCACTATCAGCATTCAATCTTGTACTTTGCAAAACAATTTTAATTTTACTCTGAGTTGCCGAGAACCCATACTTTGAAAATCCCTAGGTTGGAGAACAGGCACCCATACTGTTTACCTCCTTGAAAATAAATCTAAAAAAAATCTAGCTCTCAGAAAATCAAATACAGGTAGGTATTCTCCAACTTACAACAGTGAGCATTCAAAGTTACAACAGCACTGAAAAAAGTGGTTTATGACCATTTTTCCCACTCACGACCATTGCAGTATCCCCGTGGTCATGAGATCAAAATTCAGACACTTGGCAATTGACTCATAATTATGACGGTTGCAGTGTGCTGAGGTCAGGCGATCTCCTTTTGCGACCTTCTGACAAGCAAAGTGAATGGGGAAGCCGGATTCACTTAACAACTGTGTTGTTAACACCTGCAGTGATTCACTTAATAACCGTGGCAAGAAAAGTCATGAAATGGAACAAAGCTCACTCAACAAATGTCTCACTTAGCAACTGAAATTTTGGGCTCAGTTGTGGTCATAAGTCAAAGGCTACCTGTATTCATTCCCATCAACTGGAGCCATTGCTAAGAGGAAAAAGTACTTGAAATATTCCTTTGAAGAATAATGAAACTTAAAACGACACCACAAGTCTGTAAATTGTATTCTTTATTGTGAACTGAACCCTAGACCTTCATTTAAATCAAGATACCATAATGCTTCAGGACATCTGTGTATGGAGCAATCTTACTCTCCACATTTTTCTCTGCTTGCTTTCGGAGTTTCTAAAAAGGAGAAAGAAAAAGAAGAACTCAGTACAAGAAGATACTAACAGGCAGGTAAGTGCTAAATAGTAGAAATCCAACATTGGGAAATTACACAATTTGCTTAGACAAACTATCAGGGAATCAGTCACAGAATAATTATTCAGATTCACCTTATAATTTCTGGACAATTAGTAGTTTCTTTTGGTGGAAAATCGAAAGTTATTGTTCTTCCCCACCATTTTTAATTTACATACTCTGGGACTTCCAAGCGTAAGCATTTCTCCACTCAGTCTTTGATATGCAAGATTTGGGGCGGGGGAAAGAGACAGCCATCTCCCTGCTAAGTCTGGTCTAGATAGAACACCCCTGACTACAATTATAAGCTAAGGTTAACTCACCATAAGCTGTTTCTTCTTTGTATAGTGAACCTTGGCCTTCTCTTTACGCTTCTCTTCCAGAGTGGCTGTGATGGCCTGGTACTTCCACCCAACCTCATGGGCAAGGCGGCCCAAATAAGCAAACTGTGTGGAAGAAAAATGCAGCACTTTATAACCAATCCTGGCGCTGCACAAATTTTATACCTTCTATTCTTGCTCAGCAAATTTCATTTTCTCAGATTCTTATTAATGCTATTCCTAGTACTCCACACCCACCCAAACCCCACAGACAACTCAGCCTTTAGCCTATAGCCCTGTTCTTCCTTTAGCAGAGTCCTTCCCCACCTGTCTTCCACCTCTGCAGGATTTTAATGGAATGGCTCTCTAAACTAGCATGGCTACTTCAGCAGAATCAGAATTCTTGTTCTCCTTCACCCAGACTCGCTAACCCAGAGGATCAACCCCCCCCAAATCTCACAGAATGTATTACAAAAAGGTCTCAGATGGTAGTGCATGAAACGTTGTCTCATGGTCTTGAAACTCGAACTATGGTGGAATGTCATCATCACAGACCTATTCAAATCAGTACACTTAACAAATGGAGCACATATATAATCCCCCCTGCCAGCTATTAAGGTCAAGATTCCCAATCATCAAAAATCTAACAGTCATGCTGTGGGACAAAATACCATATACTATACTATACCCCTACTACTATAAGAGCCATGATGGTGCAGTGGCCAGATCGAAGTATTGCAGGCTGACTCTGCCTGCAGTCAGGAGTTCAATCCTGACTGGCTCAAGGTTGATTCAGCCTTCCATCCTTCCCAAATCAGTAAAATGAGGACCCACATTGTTGGGGGGGCAATAATGCTGACATTTATAAACCACTAAGACAGTGCTGTAAAGCACTATGAAGTGGTACATAAGAGCTATTATTACTACATTTTCAGGCGGAAAACCTATCTGGATGGACATCCAGTAATGTCAGCCTTCTTGCTTGACATCATCTAAACAACTGGGGGGGGGGGTGTCTCCCAGGCTTCAAATCGCCTTTTCTTATCTCAATTCTTTTAGCCAGAGAAAAGGAGCTTCTAAAAACATATTTGCACGCTTAACGTAGGAAGCCAGGGGTCCTCCTTAATTTAAAATTTTAATGGCAACAGACTTGAAATCATGCACTAAATCCCTACTGTTAATTCTTAACAATAACAAACATTACCTTGCGTGTGGGTTTGAGACGGACAACTTTCAGAGCAGCAGGGACGACCATTCTCTTGCGCTGCAGGATAAAAAATGTCCTGTTAGCAATACTTGCACAATGAAAGCAGCTCCAAGCACCGCTATGGATGCTCAGATCTGCCTCAGCGTTAAAAGTTTTTTTTTCTTCTCATATCTCAAGTCAAACAATGTAGGTAAAAAAGAAGAACATCACTGACAGAGCAGGAAGTCAAGGAGTCAAGATAATTTCTCTTGCACATCAGAAAGGAAATTACCTTATCGTAAGGTGGAGGGATCCCATCAAAAACCTTCAGCCTCTCTAAGGCAGCCTGACCACGTTTGGTTTTGTGAGGGAGCATTCCTAGTAGAGCGAGGGGAAAAAAAGATGGGAAAAGCATAGAGGGTTAGCGGAGACCCCAAGATATATAAAGGAAAAGATCTCTTTGAAATAACATCTGCAATGCTGAGCAGAACGAAGGAATCAATGAGATCACCGAGCAAATGTAAGCGAAAGTAACCTGGATTAAAAACACTTTACCCCACCCCAAATTCAACAGTCTTGGCTAATCAGATGTTTTGAATTACAACTATTTTAACTGCCAGACCACAGGGACACTGATCATAATTATAATCTGCAAATGCACGCAGATATTTTGAAAAAGCAATTTATTCTTTGTAAGGGATCGTTTCCATTTTCAAGGAGAAAGCAACACTCACCTCGAACTGTTCTCCAGAAAATTCGACTGGGGGCACGGAAGTGATACGGGCCACGGGATGGGTTGGTGTTCATCCGCTTGCGGAGGAAAGCAAGGTATTTCACTGTGAGAATAGAAAAAGAGAGAAAAGGGCTTAGACTAGATCAGAAAGATCAATGTGAGCTGAACCCCATAGATACAGCTCATTCATGTGCTTAGTTCCTAAATGGAGACACCAAATCCCCATACTTACAAACAAAATCATTTACTACAACTATGAAGAGCTACCTTCAGAATGCAGGAATCTCACAGGCATAAGCAAGCTTTCAGGTTCTTGTGCAAACGATAGATGTATGGACTCTGGAAGCCTTGCCCTACTCTTAGACTCTTTATTATTAAATTTATTAATATAGTAATAGGTGCACTCAGGCAACTCCTTTGCAAGCTGCACTGGTTGCCAATTGGCCTCCAGGTAGAATTCAAAATGTTGGTTAGCAATGAAAAAGCCTTCCCTGGCAGAATCACCTGTGGGACAGCTCTCTCTCCAGTTACATCTGCTCATCTTCTTAGATCTTGAACAGAAGGAATGCTCTGGGTCCCCTTGTTAAAATTGTATCAGAAATGTACCTCTCCTGTTGCTGCATCTAGACTGTAGGGTTTGAATCCCTCTTCCCCTAATATCTCCATGGATCAAGCCTGTTGGCATCTAGGAAAGCCCTTTTAAAACATGGCTCTTTCACTAGGGCAGTGATGGCGAACCTTTTAGAGACCGAGTGCCCAAACTTCAACCCAAAACCCACTTATGTATTGCCGGGTGGGCATGGCTACAGTGGTCATGGCAGATTGGTGGGCGTGGCCAGGGTAGGCACGGCCAGCTCAATGTTGTTCCTGGGGAGGGACGCCTGTGGGGCTGGGCAGGGTTCGGGGAGATCCAGGGGTCTCTGGCGGGTGGAGTGGTGGGCAGGAGGCTGGTTCTGCAGGGTGAGGGTGCCATGTCGCAGGGCAAGGTGAGGCAAGGGCTGGGGCGGCTGCTGCCTGACACCATTGGCCCCCACATACAAAGGCCAGCAAGTGCACGGGTGCTGGGATGCATCCGGCCACGTGGGACCTCAGCAAGTTAGTGGGCGGCTGGTTAAAGAGGATGGTTGCCGTCTCCAGGGCATGGCGCATGTGCCCACAGAGAGGGCTCCGAGTGCTGCCTCTGGCATGCGTACCATAGGTTTGCCACCACTGCACTAGGGCTTTCCTAGATGGCAATAGGCTTGATCCCTGCAGATGTTAGGGGAAGAGGGGTTCAAACCCTACAGTCCAGGTGCAGCAACAGGAGAGGCACATTTCTGAGGGATTGTTTCTGATGGGATTGTTTCCATGAATGGAATAAATGAATAAATTATCCCTACATTGTGCTCCTCGTCCCAAGCAACCAGGTGCCACAGTGCCTTAAATTCACATGGGAAAAAAAAAGGGACGAAATGCTGGCAGTTCTCTTTACTCCCTCAGAGCCTATGCATATCGTATGGATAGTTACAGAGCAAAGAAGGCTGTGAGAATAGGCTGGTGGTCTCAGATGGTAGTGCATGTAGAGTTGTCTCATGGCCATGACACTCGAATTAAAGGTGGTTAAGGCATCATCACTGACCACTTTTCAGCCACTATTGTTGATATTTATCGTATTGCATTCTTATTTTGTGCCATCCGTTCTTATCTAGTCTTTTGTTTTGTGCAGTGGAAAAATGGTTATTTAAAAGCATCCAAATCTTAATGCAATGTACATATGCCAAAGTAACATGTCCAAGCTCCCAAAGAAAGATTAGAAGAGCAGCCTCCAGTATTAAGATTTTTTTTCCCCTGCCCACCCCAATGTTTTTCTCAAGCTTCTCTGCAGTGAAAAGACATTAAGAAAATACCAACCTAGCCAGCTTATACAGCTCCAATAGTGCAAAATGTTTAGAATTCTACCACAGAGATGAGCTACGGGCACAATTCTTCCACATGCTACCCCCTAGCTGTGTTGCCAAGTATTAATTAAAATGGAAGGAAGGCTCCCTATGCAATTCTTGCCAATATTATACTGCATTTTTCTGAAAAAACAAATGACCAATAACAACTTCCCAGAATTTATTCATTCCTTTTGCTGATGCTCTTTCTCCCTTGGGGCCTCGGGACCTTTAAATATTTACTCCAAGCCTTTGAAACTGCTACTATTAGGTCTCAAGATTGTAGAGTCTTGCCATGTTTATGCCAAAGTAGAACTAGCTTTAAGGAAAATGATTGTTCTAGATTCTGGGTCATTGTTTTAAAGAAACACGTGCCTTAACATTAGAACTTGCCCTAATCGCCACAGCTAAGTAATCTACTTTCCTAGTTACTGGATAGCTTGAAAAAATGATCTTCTTCAAATTATTTTGACAGATTTGGAAGCCTCAGCTTTACTTACATTTGTTGCGGTAGAAGTTGCCAGATATGTTAATCCCTTCACATCGTACAACTACAACTTTGCGCCCTGAAGGAAAAGGAAAGATCAGATTATGTCTTCTAACATGGAATACAGATTGGACAATAAAATTTCAAAGAGTGATGTCTAGTATGTTACAAATTGTAATCTTGTATCCTCAGAAGTCTACTTCACACTTTCATTGCTTTTCAATCCACAGATGAATAAATTAGTTCATGTAAGAATGGCTGGGAAAATCTAGCTAAGCTTCAGTGAATTTAGCACCAAATTGGGTTGAACAGGCTAATACTTTGCATAACAGACATCTCCATAAAATTCCAGATCTGGAGGGCAAATTGGAAAACTGAAAGAGCACCCTTGGAAGAAAAAAAGGACAAATCTCTTCCATACAGCTGTCAAGAAAATTTATAGACAACTCCACAAAATTTCCAGGAACTGACCTTGACTTTAAGGATACTTTTAAGTTCCAGTAAAACTACCTGGTAGTACAGAAAACTGCATACATTATGACTAGCCAGGGATTTATCAGACCAACAATCTAAATTAATACAAAAATTATAATGTGTTTGAAAATGCAACCTATATTAAGACCAAACACTTTAAGGAAATAAAATCCTACACACCCAGACTAGGCAAAAGAGTATGAACTTTTCTAGATGGAAATTTCTATCAAAATACCAATATTAAGTTTTTAAAAATTATTTTCCTTTAGTTATGCTCAGAAAAAAATACAAATAACCTCAGAATTTGCTTCAATATTTGCAAGATTCAAATATCAAAAAGCATTTCTAAATATTGTTAGTAAAGTCCTTGCCTTGCCTCATCCTCGTCAAGATACAATACGCCCTCCATATATTGGGATGAGTGACACAATTGTCCCACGCACAGATCAAATCTTACCCAGCAACACTTGCTTAGCCACAATGGCTGCAAGACGACCCAGCAAATGGCCACGTCCATCAATCACCAATACCTGGAAAAGAGAAGCTTTTAAATGGGGCTTATTGACATATATAAAGGAATATTTCTAGGATGAAACAAAATAACTCTTCTCAAACTGCAGCGGTTTAAATAATTTAGCAATTATGAGAATAAGGGGAGAAAATCATTGCATAGTTCTAGACATGATAAGGATGAAGAAACAGTGTTTCCCCAATTCAAAAAGCATCACAGCTTCTACTTAGCAAGGCTAACACTATCCATCCAACATTATTCCCCTGCTGCACAGCACTGGAATTTGGCTCAGCTTTTCCAAAGGCACAGAGTATCTTTCACAGCCTTAACACTTATTTCCTACAAAACTAAGCCTGTTATTAACTCTTTTTTTTGCAGTTTTCTCTCATCTATTCCACATTCATCTCTTTCTCTCTCATTCACATTACCTTTCCACTAAGCTATCACAACTGAGCAATTCTGTTGTAGTCTCAGGTATATACAATCACCCTCTGCTTAGCAGAAAATAAAGCTAAAGCTATGCATAAAAAATCCAGCTTATTGGCATTCAGAACAAGGAACACACTCAGCAGGCATACAATTTTAAGCCTCAATTGAAAATGAAAAACCAAGGGGGGGGGAATAAGTGTTGGAAGTAAAAAAGCCTCTGATCTGCCGCCCCACCACCCCCTTTTAGCAATCTTCTGATCTGCCGATCATACAATGAGGACTGAGCCTTTTCTTAATAAAACGAGGTGCTCTCTGAACTAGTTTTCTTGCAGACGTTTCATTTACCCTAAGTAGGTAACATCATCAGTGCGAATAAAATCTCCTTTTCACGGCACGTCTGGATTTCATCGATTTGTTCTTGCTTCGACCCAGCTCGTGGAAACTACGAATTATTTTTCTAACACTAACCGGCTTCTAATACCTTTCTTGACGCATTCAATTAAAACACATATTTCCTCTCCTCCCAAAAAGCTTTGGCTATGGTGCTGGATAGCGATGGCCCTTGTAAGGCACTAACTTAGTATAAAGGCTGGCGTGGAGCATCTTGGCCGTCTGGTTGATGCACCTTAGTGCACCATTAACCCGAGTCTCTCTCGTCTTCAAAAGGAAACTACACGTGTCAACGCTGATCAAGCACCTAAGATTTAGCCTTCTTTAAATACCAAATCAGACTAAAGTGGGGGAAAACATTTTTTTTTAGTTTGCCAGGAAGGAAAGCCACGCAGAGCGAGAGTCTTAATTCATCCTCAGCCACGCTAACTCCAGCCCCTTCCCTCTTCCCCCTCCCTCTAGGCCCAGCTCTTCTCCACGTGATCCCTCTCCCTTCTATCCCGACAACCGCCAGGCTCTGGGAAGATCGACAGGAAATGAAAAGCGACGCCGTTCAAACTCCGCCGCCCGCCCGTCTGTCCCGCGAATAAAACAAAAAAAAAGGCGCTCAAGCCCCGCGCACCTTCGGCTCCGTCATGGCGGCTCCTCCGCGGCCACAGGGAAAAAGACTCCGCCTCTTCACATCCACGGGGTTACCTTTTCCGGCCGAATTAAGAAATGTGAAGAACCACAGGGGCGGATATGACGTACAGCCTATGTCAACGACGACAGAGGAGCGAAGCCGGTACTACCGGTAAAGACAGCGGCCTTTTTCCATCAAGGGTCTGGAAATGGTGCCGCTCGACAATTTTTTTCTTCTCTATGGTGAACATCTTCTTTCCTAGGCCAGGGGTAGGCATCCTCGGCTCTTTTATGACTCATGGACTTCAACTCCCAGAATTCCTGGCCTAGGCAGTTTGAAAGTTCCCTTGGCTTGGAAGATTTAAGTTCAAAATTTGACAGGAAGTAGTACAGTAATAAGGTAGGACGCTACAGAACTGACCGGAAAAGAGCTCGAACTCAAGGCGGAAGTAGTACGTGTAGGTACCATGCTGGGAAAAGTCTTTCAATTATTGTACTATTTATATTTCGTTTTTCCCTTGGAAATTCAAACTGACTTACAACTTACATAGTTTGGGACGTAATACAAATGTTTCATTTCTCTTCACAATGACTACCCGGTGATATAAGTGAGCTAAGGGATGGTACTCAGGCAAAAAGCTTGCAACCCAGATTAATTTGAGTCTGAATCTCTGTGATCCAATCTCTGGAGATTCTCAGTCATCCAGGTCATGGTTGTCCCAAAGTTGTCCCTTTTTCAAGAGGCAACTGGACTTTCTTGTTTTTCTTTGAAGGTGTTTTGCTTCTCATCCTCAGGTGACCCTGAGGACAAGCAGACAAATCCCCAAGTGGCCTCAATGATTCTCTAGAGTCTAAAAGAATGCAATTGACCAGCTGTCTGCAAGGAATATAAATCCTTCCATTCCCCACCATTCAGTCAAGAACTGAAGAAGCTTCTTGGATGAGAAGCGAAATGTCTTCAAAGAAAAAACAAGAAAGTCCATTGCCTCTTGAAAAAAGCACCTTTGGGACTGTTGGAAGAAAAATCAGTTCCTGTTCCAAGCAGGGAAGATGCTGTAGAAATGAGCTGAAGGCAGGCTGCATTTTGGAAAGGAGGTCTCAGTTTATTTAGTTGCCAAAAACTAGTGATAGCAGCATGTTGAGAGTTGAGAGTAGGTGGATTTTTATACCTTCTTTGGGCTTTGTATTTGCGATGCCTGTTTGTTGTAAAAAGTACTTTGACCTGTGCTTGAGTGTGCCCTTTTAATATTCTAATTATTGTTGCCTAACTCCCATGTTGGCTGGGAAGTCATACCCTGTCCTTGGAGCTGGGTGGGAATGTAGATTTTAGGAGTATATGGAAATTCTCAGTTATCCAGGTCATTATTATCCCAAAGGTGCTTTTTCAGGAGGCAACTGGACTTTGTTTTTTCTTTGAAGACATTTCGATTCTCATCCAAGAAGCTTCTTCAGTTCTGACCGGATGGTGGGGAATGGAAGGATTGATATTCCTTGCAGACAGCTGGTCATTTACATTCTTTTAGAGAATAGTAGATTTTAAGAGTCTTTGTTTTTCTAATCCCATCAGCTCCAGTATTCTGTGGAAGCTGGGGCTGAAGGCATTTTGCTTATGAATAAGGTGACCCAGTCTTTCTGAATGGATTACAAAATCTCCTAAAGATTGGCCTCTTCATGTTTTTTGCTTCCTTTAGCAGGAAGACTGGGGCTGCTTTTTGCCTTTGTTAAGATTTTTTCTTCATTTTTCCTTTTGGGGGAAATATTCTACCCTGCCTCTTTTAATATTCCCCAAAATATTTCATTCTCTGGGGGTGGGGCTGCTGACTTCCTACAGGACTACGATCCAATTGGGGATCCAACGCTTTAATTGCTGCTCACCTTTTGCATCTTTTTTTTCTCACTTGTATTATTTTTGTCTGTTGGTGTAACTTCTTGTAACTCATATCCCTAGAAGGGCTTGTTTTCCTTAGAAGGAAGCCAAGAGACTAAGATAACTTTCTTGGGTGAATCTGCATTGGAGGAGGAAAAAGAAGGGCTAGATGAGTATCCCTTGCTCCCTGTTTAAGTCTCTGTTTTGGTTGGGAGTTTGAGCAGAAGCCATCAGCTGAGACCTTGGTCTTTCAGAACCTTCTTGACTCCCTAATAAGTGACACAATAAAATACAGAGTGGTAGAAGTTAGGGGTCATCAAGAATCACTCAAGGGGAAATCATGTTCTATGAAACTATAGATTCCTGGACCTCTATTTCTCTTGGACCTGTTGGTCATGTCTGATTCTTTGCTTCCTTAGACCAGCCAATTTGGTCCTTGGTTCTGACAACTCTTGGTCCTTTCTTTTCTGCTGCTTAGTGTCCCCTGTGAATCTGATCTCTTTGCACCTGATCTTGGCTTACAAAGATTAGATACACTTTCTATTGATACCCCTTGAAGAGGATAGAGACCTAGAACCTAATTTACAATATAATGAGAATATACTGAGATTTTCAATTTTATCCCAGGCATCATAATGCTGTCCTTGGCTTTTCTTTTCTTTATCAGATGGATGCCTCCAGGATTAACCTACTATTTTGTGTACTGCAATGGTCATCACAGCTAAAATGTGTGGCATTCCCCATCCTATTTGGGGAGGGGTTATCTGAATGGATAGGCAGGTAAGATTTTGAAGCTGCCAGCCACAAAGCATGGGGAATCCTAGGGATTGCTAGACTAGATCTTAATCTGGAATCAGCAACATGTGGGTCCTGTTAGGCTCCTGGGGAATGATGGGATCCTTTCTGGGATGTGGAATATCCTTTTCAGATTACAGCCATTCTTTTTAACTTGCTGTTTCCAGAAGTTCCTTGCAGGAAGGTTATAGGCTTGCTGCTGCAAATACAGGTAGTCCTCAATTTATGATATTCATTGAGCGACTGAAATTACAACAGTACTGAAAAAAGTAACTTACAACCAGTCCTGGCACTTATGACTATCACAGTGTCCACGCAGTCATATGATCATGATTCAGGTGCTTGGTGCATGTTTTTACGATGGTTGCAATGTCCAGGATCACACAATCACCATTTATGACCTTCCCAGGAGGCTTCCAACAAGCAAAGTCAACCAGGGAATCCAGATTCGCTTAAACAACTGCAGCAAAAAGGGTCATAAAATCAGGTGTGGTCATGTGACGACTCACTTAACAACCAAATTACTTAGTGATGGAAATTCTAGTCCCAACTTTGGTTGTAGGAAGAGGAACTGAAGATGAAGATGTTTACTATAGGCCAGGCGTCCCCAACACCATCAGGCCACGGCCTGTTGGGAAGCAGACTGCACAAGAGGCAGGCAAGTGTGCAAGCATGCAAAGCTGCATTTGCGCAAGTGGCACACACGTGCGTAAAACCACCTGTTTTTTCCTGCTGCCACCAGGCCGCAGAGCAAGAAAAGTTGGGGACTGCTGCTATAGATTACAGATAGTTCTTAACTTAACAACCATTCATTTAGTGACTGAAGTTACAACGACAGTGAAAAAAGTGACTTATGATTGATTTTCACATAATTGTTGAGCATCTCCATGGTCACGCGATCAAAATTTGGATGCTTGGCAACTGACTCATATTTATGACAGTCGCAGTGTTTTGAGGTCACATGATCACTTTTGAGACATCTTGACAAGTAAAGTCAATGAAGCCAAATGCACTTAATAATGGTGTTACTAACAACAATTGTAGTGATTGACTTAACTGTGGCAAGAAAAGTTGTAAAATGGGGCAAAACTCATTTAACCACTGTCTTGCTTAACGATAGAAAATTTGGGCTCAATTATGATTGTAAATTGAGGGCTACCTGTAGTTTATTTTCAACACTTCCTTTCTCTTCTGTAAGGCTGTCCTGAGTCTTACCCTCTGTTCCCCACCCATCCCTTCTAATCCTTCGGCCAACTGTCTATTCCTGGATTAATCCTACTGCAGCTGGCCAGCCACGTGCAAACTCAGCGCTCTTCCTTACATCATGCCAGCCTACATATAATGTTGCCCACACTAGGGATGGCGGGGAACAGGAAAGGAAACACCTAGCCTATACCTTTTCCTTTAAAAAAGACTTGGTCACATGGAATCAGCAAGGGATGTTTGAGTAGGAGCATCTGGAGATGTCTGTCCCACACCCATCTCCTTGCTGTCTCAAAGCAAGCTGCTACTGTAGGAATGACTGATTCAAAATTCAGGCCTCAGCGGAAGCCCCCTTGACTCATTTTAAATTCTGAGCCTTGTTAGTGTTAGAGGTGCTATCAGGGCAAGATTTGGTGGCAGAGATTCAGGCCCCTTATTAGCAGAGAAGTCCCATAATCCAGCCAGACTGGCTGGCCATATTTAAGGGAAATGCAGTAATAAAAATAATTGTGACTAGGCAAGTGATTGTAAGACTCTACTGATGGGAAACAAGAAAACCTAGGAGAGGTCATCCATTCTGGCAATGATATAAAAATATTGTGAATAAATAAGTACAACTACTGCTTATGGAGTTCCCATTGCAATCATGTTGTGGTCATCTTCCACTAGAAGTGCCTTTCTGTTTGCATTGCAACTGTTTTGGAATCCCAGCAAGGTGGAATAGGTACATCTTAATAAGAGAAGATATATTAGAGCAGGGGTCCCCAACCCCTGATCCATAGACCAGCACCGGTCCATGGCATGTCAACAACTAGACCTCGCAAATAAGTGAAGCCCTATCTGTGGGGTGCAGCCAGCACGCAAAACCACGCTCCTTCCGGTCCATGGAAAAACCTTTCTCCATGGAACCTGTCCCTGGTGCCCAAAAGATTGGGGGTCGCTGTATTAGAGCAGGGCTTTTCAACCTTTTCACCCATTGTATCACCTTTAGGATATGGCAACATCCGAGTACCACCAGTCACCTAGCAAGGTGTCAAAAATTTGATGACCAGAAAAAAAAAGGGAAAAAGTGATAAAGTACAGGTAGTCCTTGACTTACAACAGTTCGCTTAATAACTGTTCAAAATTACAATGGCACTGAAAAAAATGCCCCCCAAGCCATAGCCGAGCAAGATACCTGCCTGCCCGCCCAGTGGCGCTCTTCCTTCTGTCCGAGGTTTTCATTGTTGTGAGCATTTCTGTTGAGGATTGGCAGTGGAGGGGGTGGTAGGGGGTGTTTGGTTTTTATTCCCACTGTCTGCTGAGTGGTTGCAGCAGGTTTTGGTCACCTCACATGATCCTGGGACACTGCTGTCATAAATATGAATCAGTTGCCAAGCATCTGAATGTAAATCACAAGACCCTGGAGATGCTGCAACATTCCAGCTGATCGGCGCTTCTTCTGGGCTCAGCAGAAGCACCAGGATCAATGCTGAGCTCCAGCTGGAGCCTGGCGCCTGATCCTGGTGCTTCCACTGAGCCCTGACAGGCTTGCAGCTCCAGCCGTCTGTTGCTCAGGCTTGTACAGTGCTGCCACTGGTTCAGCTCATTCCCCTCCCCCGCTACCACTTTTCTAGGATGGTTGCATACCACCTGCCAGGTGCCAATGTACCGCAGGTGGTACCCGTACCACTGGTTGAAAAGCCCTGGTCTAGAAGAAGCTTGGATTGGTGAATTAAGTCAGGCTGGCTACGTGGGAATTTCTACAACGTAGGAAGCATTTCTATAGTTTGTAAAGAGAGGATAGAAAGACATCTTCCAGCACCCAAGTCAACAATGGCATGCACATTCTTTTCCAAACCGTTTTCAGTTTCATAAATAATATTTATATATTTACACAAGAACAAGATATTTCTTTCCAACTTGAGGGAGGGGCATTATCCAATGAGGGAGGCTACATGTACAGAGCAAACACCAGAGATAGACCAACCAACCCACAGAGAGAACTACTGGAGAGAAGCTGGAAGGAGAATTGAGAGTTTAAAGGAGAGGGGAGGAGGAGAGCTTCATGGACATCATCCATTATTTTGTTATTGTTGGAATAGCTTTCATGAAATTGGAAAAACAACAGTACATATGGTGTGAGGTGGCCTGAGAACTTTCCAACAAACTTAATGCTTTATTGCAAACCAATTTCTGACGTAAAAAGCTGGCTATGCTTATGTGCAGGGTTACATCTGGGTTGCAGAATTACTCAGAGTCACTAGATGGCAGCAAAAGAGAAAACCTCAAAAGATTTGCCAGCAGTTATCAAAGTTTTTCACTTTCACTTATGATCATCTGGTGGTTTTCAAAATTTTTGCAACCTAGTTCTGGTAAGCTAATATGTGTATATTTTGTGTTATGTGTGTTTGTGTTATGGGGTGGAGTACTATCTCCTCTTCTGTCCTCAACGTGATAATCATAGTAATTCTTGGCATAAGAGTGCAGAGTGCTTTACAATCCTTTTTCATTCACAAGAATCTTGTGAGGTAGGCCACGATATAATTATTCTTATTTTTAAATAGATCTTGAAGACTATTATATACAGAAGCTTTCTCAAAATAATCCAGGCTTTTTACACCCTAAAGCAACATTTAGGGTAATTCTAATGCGCTGTGCTACAAAAATTAAACATATTTTTGTAAATTTCCCTAATGGCCTAGGAAAGCAATATAACAATTGCTTGTGCTTTACTAGAGGCCAAGATGGCAGAAGGAAAGTGGTATACCCTGAAAATTAATTTGATCACCATGCTCACTCTGTTGCACCTGCAAAGAGTTAAGCTAAGAGTTTATACTGTCAATTAATATATGCTCTTAGTGCATAAGTGCTACATCTGCAGATTGAGCAAAGATTTCAAATAGTGTCTTTTAAGAGCTGGTATAATGTGATATATAACATATTTAACTGAGTTTGGCTAATTAGACCTCATTCAGATCCCTGCTTACACCCCACTTTCCTTCAGGAAACTGAAAGTAACATACCATGGCCAAGGACCCCCTGTTTTTATCCCTGCAACAATTGTATGAGGTAGGTTCAGCTGAATAGGGCTGACCCAAATTCATCCAGTGGGTTTCCATAGTTAAATGGAGACTTAAAGCCAGTTCTCCATGATTGTGTTTCTCAGCCTAAATTTATCAAATAAGAATGTTGTAAGGATAAATTTTTACATGCACGGAGAAGAAAACAATCCAAATACAGTAGGTTTGTTTAAGAGAAACCCATAGGATTGAAAGCAACAGTCTAATCTAAACATTAGAACAGTGGTTCTCAACCTGTGGGTTGGGACCCAATTTGGGGTCGAACTACCGTTTCACGGGGGTCGCCAAACAATGCAGTCCGCCATTTTTTCCCCCTTTTCCTTAGCTGTGCTACTCCCTTTTATTCTATTGGCTTTTGAAAGCCAATAGAATAGACTCTCTTGAATAGAGTCTAATTCTATTGGCTTTCAAAAGCCAATAGGAATTGTCCAGGCTGTCTCTGCCCTGCTGAGCCCACCAAAAGTCCCATTCTGCAAACGGTGCTGCACCAGTTGAGTAGTCCTCGACTTACGACTGGTTGAGTAGTCCTCGACTTACAACCAGTTGGGGGTCGCGGCATTAAAAAGGTTGAGAACCACTGCATTAGAACATAATTGGGAATAGTTTATACCCATTCACAAGTGAATTAGAAGCTCTTTAATATTTGCTGTTAAAGTATGGCATGGGTATGTGGCTGACTTAAATAAGAATCTGGGAGAACAATAGGCTCAATTTATATGAAGGGACTATGCTAGTCTCTTGTAAAAGAACAAGGAGTTATAAAAACCACAATCCTTCTGATGGAGGGACTATGATAAATAAACGCTTATGGGATAATACTTGGTTAGCCTTGTATTGGTACCTATTTTTTGAAAGAACCAGAAAACAAGACAAACAATGGATGAAAATTAATCAAGGAGAGAAGCAACCTGGAATTAAAGAGAAATTTCCTGAGAACAATTAACCAGTGGAACGGCTTGCCTTCAATAGTTGTGGGTGCTCTGTCACTGGAGCCTTTTAAGAAGAGATTGGACAGCCACTTGTCTGCAATGGCATAGTCTCCTGCTTGAGCAGGGAGTTGGATTAGAAGACCTCTAAGGTCCCTTCCAACTCTGTTATTCTGTTCTGCTCTGAAATATTTTAGAGTTTTAGGATATAATGTTGCCTCCTGGGGAAGAAATGGCAAAAGAATCGACCACCACAGCAGAATGAAGAACTGGTGAGTAAACCGGCTCTTTGTAATTCCTCTCTGGACAAAGAAATGACTTGAGATGGCCATAAATGCTCCAGACAGTTGATTCTTATGAAGATACTGCAAGACTGATCTCCAGTAGGTTTAGAGCCAAGGGAATAGCTTCCTTGCTCAACCCGTGGTCAGTACCTTTAAGGAAACAGGGTTTGAGTGCTTCTTTTTCTAATTACTTTTGGAAATTGCTTGTTAACTGGTTTTCATCTATTAGGAAAGTGCATTACCAGGTTTTTTCAGCAACAGATGAATTTCCTTAAATCTATAGAGGAAGAAATTTTAAATACAAGTTTTATAACAAACTTGTAATACAATACAAGGACTTTTTTTCTGAAATAAATAGTAAAATTGTGATTAAGACTTTGATTTTCTTAGAAAGTTACAAATGGACTAAGGGTCCAGATGGACTTGAAATAAGATTTTGGAATTAATTATAAGAACTCCTCCTGTAGGGAAATACTTTTGGTTTTGAATTCTTGGGAAAAAAATGATAGAATGAATCTTTGAAAGTTACGCTAGAGGGCACCAGAAGGAATTAAATATAACACGTAAAGAAGAACATTTAAATTTGACTTACATAATGGAACAAAATATTTTTTGACTTATTGAAGGATATTTTTGAACAATGGATCCAGAAGTTAAGAGTGTCTGCTTCTATTAATAGATAGTTTAAAAAATGTTATAATAGAGGAACTAATTTTATCAGACAAGACTGGGATTGATCTGAAACTGAATTTAAAAGCTTCAAAAATGATATAGAAAATGATGCTATGCTGGACATACAAAAGAAGCAGATAATAATTAGAAGGGGTATACAGATAACAAAGCAGAAGAGTGACTGGGATAATCTTCCCATATTAAATTTACAAAAGAAGCTTCTTAAAGCTTTGAAGACTTCTTTGAGAAGAGACAAAAGAAAAAGACAATAAAATTTTTTTGGACATTATTTGAAAGGGCTAAAGATTAAGATTGCTAAGAATTCAAGGAAGGAATATAAAGTTGGTTTATTTGATCCAAGCTAAAAAAATAGATATGTTGTTATCTCTGGTAACACTTAATGGATTTTTTTCTGATCTGGACTGAAATAATGACATTCTAAAAAATTGTTTATACGTAAGAGATGGGATATGGGTAGAAGAGATCATTTGTTGTATTTTAAGAGGTGATACATTTTTCTTTATATATTTCTGTTTTACTATATTCTTTTTCTATTTTTTCTATTTTTTTTCTTGCACACTCTATTTTTCTTTTTTAGTTGGTAGTAGTTCTTACTGTCAAAGTTGCAATTTTTAATAAAATTATTATTAAAGAATAGTATAATATTGCCATCTGAAGTTTTTGTTGTTGAAGAAAGCCTAGATTTTTTATCCTTGTTTGAATATAAAGTGCATTAAATAAGTCTGAAATGCTATACATTAAAAAAAAACCTGCAACAAAACAAATTCCAAGTGGTGGATTGGGCAAGGAGAGACTATAGCCATCAAGTACAGGATATTTTTAAAGCTACCAGTAGAAGAAAGGTGGGGGAGGGGAGAGAGATAATTTGATATTGTTACACAGAAAGTGATTTACAGTATACACCAAAAAATACCAACCCATTAAGCATAAAAATCATTTACAGCTCAGGAAAAAAATGCTGAAATGCATAATACAGTATTTGGAAATGCCTGGGTGCATGTTGGAAGCCTATAGATTACAGCAGAAAACTGGACTATTTTTTAAAACATGGGAGTAAGCGATTATCCTAATACTGTGAACATCTTCCCCTGTCTTCAATTCAGGATGATGGCTGGTGCTTAGGTGCTAAAGGCATAAGATGTTGAGGGAGATGGAGTATACCTAAAGTATTAAAGTCCCCAGGAGAACATGATCTAATTTATTTCTAAGAATCAGAAGGGTCTAAGGCAAAGTTTAAGGTACTGAAAGGATGAGATGTACCACAAGGCTATCCAGGTAAGAAACTAAACAGCTGGAGTTAATGCCAACCCACTTCCTAATTAGTAGAAGTCCAGAGGGGAAACCAAAATATCAACTTGTTTCCTATGGTTCACTTGGCCTAGGGATTAAATCTGGGGTCTTATGCATGTGAAGGGAGCGGTTTATTCATAAGCTATGTTTTCATTTCATACTCAGTAGATGATGTTACAGTGTCTTTACTGTGATCCCAAAGCTTTTCAGTCAAGGACTGTGGGATAGAATCAAGAGCAATGGGTGTGTGGAATTTAACTCAACCCCTTGGGTGAAAGAGCATCAGCCTAGAGCAGGAATGGACAATTTGGAGGTACAGTGGCCTGTACACAAGGAAGGGTAAAGGTTTGAAAGTAAGTGCTTGTGGAGCATTACTGAGGTGTAACAGACCGCTGGGAAGGGCAATTTTCAGTGGGTCCAGACATTGGTTGCCAACACATCAGAAATGGGATGGAGGTTGTAGGACAGGATGGTAAAGTAATGGAAGATAGAGAAGAAGGCTGATCAAGAAGCCTTCTTCTCACTCCAGTGGATTATAACTAAGGCCCCATCATCACACCAGGGTGGAGGATGGGGTTCCCTACAACAAGTCTCGTTGTTCTGGCACACCATACATATAGGAATCTTTCCCAGGCTCCTGTATATATTCCTCCTTTTTGTCCCAGTCAGCCGTCCAACCTCCATTGGCGAAACTGGTACTTTTAGTGGCCCCATAACCGCTGCCGCCTGCTCCTGCTCCCATGCGGGCAGCTTCATCTTCCTCATCAGCCAGTTCATCCTCGTTGATGAAGCCACATTTCTCTTCAGTCAATTCTTCTGGCTCAGCCCAGGGTTGCTTCTCCCCAGAAGCAAAAATCCCATAGAAGATGACACCACCATAATGTACTAGAGAGGCAATGAGGAAAACATACTGCCATTCTTCTCGTGTCTGTGGAAAATATAAAAGACCCATCATTCAGAGCTTATTTGAGGGATATCCCATGCCCGTACAGGTTGTCCTCATGTTACGAATGGAATGGAGCCTGCCCATTCCATTTGTAACTCGAAAACTAGTAGGAGTGAATCTCGTATCTCACACGAGATCAGTCTCTGCTAGTTAAAACGGCTCATTAAGTGAACATGAGGTATTTCAGGGTGAGGAAGGCCATGGAGGGCCTAGTGATGAAACATGCCCCCAAGGTCTCCCCCACCCATTAAGATACTTCATACTTCCCCCTCTCTTCCTGCCCCACCGGACTCACCTTGAAAAGATCTGTTTCCTCTCTGCCGTGGTTCTGCTACTGCCTGGATCTGAGGCTGGAGGATGCTTCTGCATGCCTCCGGGTGTCAGAGGCCTTTTCCAGGCTACTGCTGCTGCCTGGAACTGAGGCCAGAGGATGCTTCTGCAGCCCTCCAGATGCTCAAGGTCTTTTCCAGGCTGCTGCCGCCCAGATCTGAGGCATGCCCCAGCCTCAGATCCGGGAGGCAGCGCCTTGGAAAAGGCGTCTGGTGCCTGGATCGGGCCTCCAGAGGACCCCAGAAGCATTCCCTGACCTCAGGTCCAGGTGGCAGCAGCCTGGAAAAGGCCTCTGGTGCCTGGATCCAGTCTCCAGAGGGCCGCAGAAGCGTTCCCCCGGCCTCATATCTGGGCGGCAGCAGCCTGGAAAAGGGCTCCAGTGCTTGGATCCAGCCTCTGGAGGCATGCGGAAGCATCCCGTCTTCGGTTCCGTTCTCTGTTGCAGAGAACAAAGGCCTAAAGTACTATGAGATCAAGCGAAATCAATAGCATGAGATCTCACCTCCCTAATCTTGCGTGATCTTGCATTACCTTAGGCCTCCATTCTCTGTGAATGCCCCAAAGGCCTGGAGCAGCCAAGAAAGCGAAGGATCTCGATCTTCGCAGGACGAGTATTGAAGGCTTAGCGCTTAGGGAAACCAGGGACGGGGGTGGGGAGGGAGGGAATAACCAGGGTGAATATTGCAGTGCCACTCTGGTCGCTTGTAAGGGTGAATGACTGCCATGATGCCACAATATTTGTAATTTCAGGATTTGCTCGGGGGCGCTTATCGCGTAACTTCGAACGTTTGCTAAGGGAACGCTGGCAACTTGGGAATTACCTGTATTCTTCAACCAACAGTGGACACCCTCCCTCTGAAAATCCCCTTTTCTTACTAATAATTAAGTCATCATGGCATATACTGCAGCCTTGAAGGAGAAAAGGATGAGGTTAGTTACAATCAAGTAAAACGGACAATTTATAGGATATACACATATCTAGATATAAATATTCAGAAAGTAAATACTTAAGATTGCAAAAGTGAGGTACATAAAGCACCTCTTCATTGTTTCTAGAACCAGTCAGAGTGGATGACCAATATTTTATGCAGTTCCATAACAAAAGTTATAAAATGCAAAGAATTAAAAGGAGCAGTAAAGGTTCCTTTTCCTAACATAATACAGGTAGTACTTGACTTACAATCACAGTTGACCCCAAAATTTCCATTGCTAAGTGAGGCAGTTGTTAAGTCAATTGTATCTCATTTTATGACCTTTTTACCACAGTTGTTAGTTAAGTGAATCACTGCAGTTAGGTGAATGATGCAGTTGTTAAATGAATTTGGCTTCCCCTGCTGGCTTTGCTTGTCAGAAACAGTCATAAGCAGTGCTTTTTTTCTAAAAAAAAAAAAAAAAAAAAGGTGCCGGAACTCACACACGCCTTGCCTACCCTACAAGGTTCCATCCAAAAAAGGTGCTGGAATTCCATTCTAGGTGTTCTATGAGAAAAAAAGCCCTGGTCATAAGTGTGAAAAATGGTCATGTCACTTTTTTCAGTGCTGTTGTACCTTTGAATGGTCGCTAAATGAATAGTTGAAAGTCAAGGACTACCTGTAGACCAGTGGTTCTCAACCTTTTTAATGCCGCGACCCCCAACTGGTCGTAAGTCGAGGACTACTAAGCTGGTGCAGCACCGTTTGCAGAATGGGACTTTTGGCGGGCTCAGCAGGGCAGAGACAGCCTGGACAATTCCTATTGGCTTTTGAAAGCTAAGGAAAAGGGGGGGGGGGAAATGGCGGACTGCATTGTTTGGCGACCCCCGTGAAATGGTCATTCGACCCCAAATGGGGTCCTGACCCACAGGTTGAGAACCACTGCTGTAGACCAAAGCCAAGTAAGCTATCTTGTGACTTAACTTTATGTATGACCATCATAACCTCTTGATCTAAGGCTCTTTTCCTACGGCAAATTAAAGTTCTTTGCATCCATTCAGCAGAAAATTAAATGAGCATGAAATTTGTGATTCCTTATCCGACAGATACTGTCAGTCACCTGATGTCCATCCAAAACAATGGGTAACAATGCCTGATGTAGGGCATTACTTTATGCTTAAGGACAACTTAATCTTATCTGACTCAAGAGATGAGGATGGGATGAAAGCAATGTCCAAAGATGTTACCTGCACATTTTAGGTCATACTTAAATGGAAGTGGGGAAAAGCCCTATGTACAAAAAGGCCTACATACATTTTACACAAAAATAAGAATTGTGAGGAGAGGAAGTACATAGAATAAATTTTTTCCATTTTCTAGAAAGCATTTCTTACCTTATGTTTAGTCATTGCTCCAACAATGAGTGGGCACACCATGCCTGACAGGGTCCCCACACCATTGGAGATGCCCATCAAGATACTGGCATATCGGGGGGCAATATCTAAATGGTTGACATTGAATCCTGGAAGTGGTGGAGATAAAAATGAAATGAGTATGATACACTCCCTGGAAATTTATATAATTAGATTGCATTTGGAAACACAATTGCAGTTTAATAAGAGAACTGTTAATGTTACTATGGTCTTCTTCAATCTAATAATACAGTCAGCCATCTAGAGGAGTTGTACTTCAGTTTCCATAATCAGATTGGAGAAAACATCCATAGCACCCTCTAGCTTCAGCTGATTGGACCAGAATGGATGAAGGGACAGGGAGCATTTAAAGGGGGGGGGGGAGAAAAGCATTTTAAGGTGCATAATCAAATCTGCAAAATTCATTGCATTTCTATTGATCTGTTAGGACAAGCATGTTATGCAAACTAATTCTGGGAGCCATTAAATAATTAGCTCATTTTAACACAAGCAGAACATGGTTCAACTACTAGATGGTGATAGTGGAACAATGCAAGAGGACATTTTATGTGATTGACAATGGATGAAGATTAGCCAAAGTGTATCATTTCCAGATCCGTAATTCTTAGGTCTAAGATGTCCTGAGCGTGGTTTGCATCTTAGTACTGCAAATCCTCCTATTATTATGCTCCGCATCTCTTTCTATAAATGCACTTAGAAGCACACTGAAATCTATGGCACCTTTATGTATAAAGCCTTTTACCAATAGATAGTAAGTTGCACACATACAATAAAAAGTGGAAGCTGATTCACTTCAGATTATGGTACAGGAAACCTGTTCTTTTGATGCATCACTCACACATGCCTTTGCTACACTTGAGTAGAGTTAACCTTCAGGAATTTACTATGATTAGCCTTTTTCAGTTATATTCCTGTATTCTTTTTTGTTTGTTTCCACTTTTGTGCTTTCTTGTTTTTAGCTAGTGGCTAAGACAGAGTTTCTCAACCTTGGCAACTTTAAGATACGTGGAATTCAGTTCTCTGAATTCTACAGCCAGCATGAGCTAAGCCAATGAACAATGGTGATTTTTTACAGAATGAGCAACACAAAATGTTTCCCAGGAAGTAGGCCCATGAGAAACGATTTATGGGTCTGAGGGACAGAGCAGAGCAAACTCCGTTTCTCCCCTCGCGTTATTTGGAGGTAATACAGCAGAGTAAGAGAGAGTTGGAAACTGGCAAGGGGAGAGCAAAAATGAGGAAAGGATGGTGGCAAAGTGGGGCTAGTGATGGTACAGGAAGTTGAGGAAGGAGGGGAGTCTTTGTGACATACTGCTGTTCATCCCAAAACATATATGGTGGGATAGCAACACTTAACACTGTACCGTATATAGATAGTCCTTCACTTAAAACCACAAATGGGACCAGATTTTCTGTTACTAATCAAAGTGGCTGCTAAATGAATCATGCCTGATTCTATGACCTTTTTTGCCATGGTTGTTAAGTGAATCTCTGCAGTTGTTAAGTGAATCACGGCGAGGTTAATCAAATCTGCCTTTCCTCGTTGACTTTGTTTGTCAGAAGTAGCTTGAAAGGTCACAAATGGCAGTCACATGACCCAGGGATGCTGCAATTGTTGTACATACATGCTGGTTGCCAAGTGCCTGAATTTGACCATGGGGATGTTGCAATGGTTGTAAGTATGAGGACTGGTCGTAAGTTACTTTTTCGGTGCTGTTGTAACTTTGAACACTTTTCATCCCTGAAATCATCCCAAGTCAGGTTTAAGAAATCTGGGCAAAACTTTTGGCCCACTCATATTGGGCTCCTATCCAGGTAAACTTGGGAAAGGAGTGGATATTTACCGTAGAAGCTAACCATGCCTAAAAGTCAGCCCAACTGTCCAAGAGCTTACCTGAAATAGCAAAGCCACTGAAACCCACAGCCAGGACGAGAAAAGAAATCGCCACCCCTCTGCTGTGGGAATAACCAACTACTAAGAGCAATGTGGCTTCCATGCCAAACCCTGACGAGAAATGAGAACCACACATGTAACTATGGGTTACAAATAATATTAGCTGTATTCAAACGTCGCATGAAACTAAAACTAAAGAAATCGTGTTATGGCTTAGCTTGCAATATAAGAACCCAGTCAAAAGACCCCCTGTTTAAAACAATAATCATCAATGGCATAAGACCAGGTGAGAGACAGATCATCATAGAGAAAATCTATCTGGGTGGTCTCCAAGAGCTGACGTTGACCTGATGGCATATAATCAATACACCCAATTATAAATTCTGCACTATGTCAGTCATTTTAATGCTTTGAGATTCTGAGATCATTTCAGATTATTCCGGAAGGAGGTTTTCTGAAGCTTCCCTATAACAGTGCTCTTCAGATGGGGTGGACTACAGTTCCCAGTATTCTCATCAGGAGGGCTATAACTATGTTGGCTGAGGATTTGAGGCATTGTGTTCCAACCCACCTGGAAAAGGATGTCTTGGTGTGATTTTTTTTTTTTAAATGAAAGCTATTCTTTGACGCATATAGAAGTTTGGAAGTTTCTGGAAAGTTGTAGGCGAAAATCCCTCTCAAGAAAGAACAGACAAGATGTACAAGGCCTTTCACTCTGGTTAGGCTCAGGCTGTTGGAAACCCAGCATGGACTTCGTTAAAGCCAGATGCAAAAATTTAAAAGAGATTTTATTCTGTGAGTGCTGGAAACCTATCTTTCTTCCTCATTAAAGATAAAAACAGGATTTCTCTGAATTGTCTGCAAAGCTTTTGGATTTGGAGGACCCAAGGCCCTTCAAACGTTGAATTAAAACTCATAAATGCTGACCGTGATTGATATCAGCTAGGGATGATGGGATCAGATATATAGCATCACCTTGATTGTGGTAGGCTGCCCGTTTGTATTTTAAGAAATACAATGTGATTCTATAGCATTCCTTCCTCTAAAGCAGGAGTGTCCAAACTTGGCAGCTTTAAGACTTGTGGACTTCAACTCCCAGAATTGGGGAAGTCCCCAAGTCTTAAAGTTGCCAATTTTGGAGACCCCTGCTTTAAAGAATTCAAATGCCTTTTGTTCATTGCCAAACGACCCTCAGTACTCATCCTTTCAATCTGGGTATCTATCAATCTCATTTTTCTTAAAAAGAAAAAAAAAAGATACTCTCTAGAGGTAGCTGCTCAATCCTAACCCTTATCCCCACAGCTTGTTATGTGACAATGATGCCTTTCTCACTCACCCCCACAGTTCATCATCTTGCGGACATTAGTGGTAGACATAAGTCTTCGCGAGCGCAAGAAGTCAGCAATTTGGCCTCCAATGGGTACAATGATGGTCATAACCAAGTGGGGCAAAGCAGAGAGCATCCCCACCTGTGTGTCAAAAGTGAAGAGAAACAGTCAGCATCTCAGAGACCAGAAGGTATTAAAAGACAGCTGAGCAAATCCAGGTATCCCTTACAACAGCATTCCCCAACCTTTGAAGCTGGGCAGCCCGGCTGGGGGGAGGAGAGGGGAACTCTCACACAAGAGAGAAGAGAAACCTTTGGGGCCAGGTTTCACACTCCTTCAGGCTTCCCTGTGCCAGAAGCCTTTGCAAAGGGATGGAAGGCCTGAAGAGATCGCTCCCCTGAAGCCTTTCATCCATTTGCAAAAGCTTTTGGTGTGGAGAAGAGAAACCTTTGGGGGCGCAGTCTCATGTTCCTTCAGACTCACCAAGGCTGCCCGACACTCCAAAAGTGGATCCAGTGTCTTGCACAGGTAGCCTTAGTCAGTCAGCGAAGCTGAGCAGGGTGTGCTCATCTCATTCAGCCTCTGATCTCAGTGCTCCACTTTTAGAGCATCGGAGCATTGGCTTGCCACCTGGCTGGGCCGCTCACACGAGTGCAGCTGTGTGCATATACTGGCCCACGTGTCGCAGAGCCCAGTTCCGAATAGGCCACGGCCTGGTAGTGGGCCATAATCCAGGGGTTGAGGACCCCTGCCTTAGAAAAAGAGGAGATTTCGAGGGAGACATTATCTAACTCCCATTCTTTTTCAAAAATAGATTTGTGACATTATGCAATTAATTTTAAAAAATAACTCCAATTCTACTTTCCAGCAGCAAAAACATGTTTTAAGAAATAATAATAATTTGGCGCTTTCCCACATCTTGCTCTATCTAAATTTTTCCACTAGTGGATATTGATTTATATTGTTTATACAGTACATGCCTAAAGGCATTATCCACAGTCTTTAATCAAAATATAAAACAAAGTGGGCCAGTTCTAAAATTTACATAGGCTCCCAGTTTCTACGGCTAGTGAGGATAAGCATCTCCCTTGAAGAATATGCCCAAGTGCATTTTTGCTGGTTAATGATTGCAGTAAAGCTATTAATGTATCCCTGTGCACACACATAATTCAAACCAGAAAAAAGGCTTTTCTTACCTTGCTGATTTCAAAGCCAAAGACTTCTTCAAAATAGGCTGGCTGGCTGATTAAGAGCAAATAAAATGTCCAACTTCTGCAAAAATTGGCTACAATAATGGCATACACTGGCATGGATGTAAAGAATCGACGCCATGGAGTTTTGAATTTCTGCAGAGAAGGAGCAAAGATCTCTTGTTATCTGATACCTTCTAGATGCGCTGTTTTATGATTTCCATATCTTCCAGATGGGATATTCAACAGAGGTGCTAGCTGGGGATACATCCACCCAGGGTAGAAAGCCAAGAGCTGTAGGACACACTATATTAAGCAAGTAATTGAATAAATGAAGGTAAAATTGCCTGGGCCATTTTAAAGCGTCACAGAGGAGCTGGCTAACTTACAAATATATACAAATACTGACCATCAGGGGATTCATCAGGGTAGTGCTCTCTCCGATGCTCTCCTCTATGTACTTCCTCTCTTCCTCCGTGATGGTTGGGTGCTTGGCCGGACTCTGATAGGAAACCATCAGCCAGAATAAATACCAGAAAATACCAAAGCTCCCTGCAAAAACAGAAGTGCAAAATAACCGTCGAGAGGAATAGAATAGAATAGAAAACTGGAAAGAATAGAGTAGAGTAGAGTAGAGTAGAGTAGAGTAGAGTAGAGTAGAGTAGAGTAGAATAGAATAGAAAATTGGAAAGAATAGAATAGAATAGGAAATAGAAAATAGGAAAGAATAGAATAGAATAGAAAATTGGAAAGAATAGAATAGAATAGAATAGAATAGAATAGAATAGAATAGAGAATAGAACAGAATAGAATAGGAAATAGAAAATAGGAAAGAATAGAATAGAATAGAATAGAATAGAATAAAAAATAGGAAAGAATAGAATAGAATAGGGAATAGAAATAGAATAGAATAGAATAGAATAGAATAGAACCTGGAAGGGACCTTGGAGGTCTTCTAATCCAGCCCCCTGCTCAAGCAGGAGAACCTATACCATTTCAGATAGGTGTCTAGTCTCCTTAAAAACCTCAAGTGATGAAGCACCCACAGCTTCTGAAGGCAAGCTGTTCCACTGATTAATTGTCTTCACTGTTAGGAAATTTCTCCTTAATTCCAGGTTGCTTTTCTCTTTGATCAGTTTCCAAACATTGTTGCTTGTCCTGCCCTCTGGTGCTTTGGAGAATAATGTGACCTCTTCTTCTTTGTGACAGCCACTCAAATACTGGAATATTGCTATCATGTCACCCCTATTTCTTCTTTCCTCTAGACCAGGGCTTTTCAACCAGTGGTACAGGTACCACCTGTGGTACATTGGCACCTGGCAGGTGGTATGCGGCCATCCTAGAAAAGTAGCGGGGGAGGAGAATGAGCTGAACCGGTGGCAGCACTGCACAAGCCTGAGCAAGAGACGGCTGGAGCTGCAAGGCTGTCAGGGCTCAGTGGAAGCACCAGGATCAGTGCCGCTTTCCAGCTGATCAGCGCTTCTTCAGGGCTGTCGGGGCTTAGTGGAAGTGCCAGGATCAGCACCAGGCTCCAGCTGGAAAGCAGCACTGATCCTGGCGCTTCTGCTGAGCCCAGAAGAAGTGCCAATCAGCTGGAATGTTGCAGCATCTCCAGGGTCTTGTGATTTACATTCAGATGCTTGGCAACTGATTCATATTTATGACGGTCACAGTGTCCCAAGGTCATGTGAAGTGACCAAAACCTGCTGCAACCACCCAGCAGACGGCAGAAATAAAAACCAAACACCCCCCACCCTACCCCCGCTGCCAATCCTCAACAGAAATGCTCACAACAATGAAAACCTCAGACAGGAGGAAGAGTGCCGCTGGGCGGGCAGGCAGGTGTCTTGCTTGGCTGTGGCTTGGGGGGCACTTTTTTCAATGCCATAGTAACTTCGAACAGTCATTAAGCGAACTGTTGTAAGTCAAGGACTACCTGTACTTATCACTCCCCCCCCCTTTTTTTTTTGGTCATCAAATTTTTGACACCTTGCTAGGTGACTGGTGGTACTCGGATGTTGCCATATCCTAAAAGTGGTACAATGGGTGAAAAGGTTGAAAAGCCCCACTCTAGACTAGCCAAACCCAAGTCTTGCAGCCATTCTTCATATGTATTAGTCTCCAGGCCTTTGATCATCTTAGTTGCTCTTCTCTGAATTTTTTCCAAAGTCTTTCAACATCTTTTTTGTAGTATGCTAACCAATCTATGATTTTCCCCACTCTTGGGTGAACGTGTTCGCCACCTTTTTTAAGTCAGGGGCTAACTAACTCAGCATGAAATTTGTGACTCTGATTGCCCATACTTATCTGGCTTCAATTGCTTATGTTTCCCATCATTCCAGTGATATGACTTTTTGCCAAGCTGATGAGTGGTGGCAAAATGTAACAGACCTGGACGCTTTCTGCAGATGGTGGTGGAATAAGTGGAAACATTTACAACAAATAGTCCTCAACTTACAATCACAATTAAGCCCAGTTGTTAAGTAGGTCATTATGTGACTGTGCCCGATTTTACAATCTCTTTTGTGTTGGCTGTTAAGCAAGTGCCATATTCACTAAGCCAACCCATTGTTCACTATGGGATTAAAAAAATTTTTTTTGCCAGAAACTGGAAAGTAAAGCCATTTTCCTGCAAAAATGTTTTAAACCATGGTCACATGACTCTGGATCTCTGCAAACGGCCATAAATGCAGGCTGGTTGCTGAGTGCCCAAAATGTGGTCATATCACCTTGGGGGTAGAGGTCAAGGCTGGCCATAAGAACTTGAAACCCAGGTTGTAAGTTCCTTTTTGGGGGTCTGTCAGAACTGGCTGCTAAGCAATTAGTTGTAAGTCAAAGACCACTTGTACTTTAACATCTGTATGGATGGAGATGGCTTATGGCAATCTTACTGGGCTGGGAATGAGATGAAGGAGGTGAAGGCAATGGCACAGGGACATGGAGGATAAAAAATCTGCTAAAGCATATTTGGGCTGTGATTAAGTCCCAGTGAAGAACGGCCCAATATGGCAGCCATCGCTTTTGTGCCAGTTCACTTACCATAGACATAGAATACAGAGCTCCATCCTGAATATTGAACTAGAATCCCAGCAAGAGGCATGGCCACCACCGCCCCTGCATAAGAACCTGGAAAGTTATATAGGAAATATTAGCTAAATATACAAGCCAGGATTCCTCATTCCAATCAGCCTTTGAACTGATACCACAATTTCTCTTTGATTTGAAAATGCCATTCTTAGTTGTGGTTGTAATTTTTACACAAGAGATTAAAACAGACAACAAAACCCCACCTGCAAGAGGAATGGGAGCTAATAAATAATGGTGAAATTAATTCCTTAATAATTACCAGCAACACTAATTGAACTGGAAAGGAAACAAGAAGGGTAGAAGCTACAAAATAAAATTACTAATAATATTTACAGCTGCGTGAGACTATATTGTTTCCAAGTAAACATTATAGAAATACGTTGCCTATGAATACGAGCACTGATGGATATCATTGAATATCATTGATATCATGGATATCATTGAATGCTTTGAGCAACTACTATTTTAATTTTATTACTAGATTATTGTGGAAAAACAATGCCTCAGCAACAATAAGGCAAAAATGTGAAAGCAACTTAATAGTCATTAATAGTGAGTTCATAAACCAGTCCTGTGATGATTCAACTCATGGGATGAGCGGGAAAACTCTAGTGAAGTGTTTTGATCTAGAGTTTTGCACAAAGACTAGATCAGTGTTTTTCCAACTTGGCAAATGCAAGATGTGTGGAATTCAACTCCCAGAATTCCTCAGCCATCATGCTGCCGGAGGAATTCTGGGAGTTGAAGTCTATATATATCTTAAAGTTGCTAAGCTTGTAAAATATTGGTAAATTTATTTGTAAAATAAAATATTGATCAAAGATTCAACTTTCCAGAAGTCAACAACTGTCAGCTTTAAGAAACAAGGTTATCTTACCACAGAAAGCTGTTGTGGCCAGGCGACTACGTTCCAAAGGGGGTGCCCATTTGCTCCAAATACCATGGCATGCTGGGTAGGTGACTCCCTGGAGGTGAAGGGCAGAGAATAATATAAAGAGGAAGGCCAGAAATTAGATTCGTTAGTTTCTTAGCTCTTTCCTATTCCTGTCAGAAAGTGATAGATACATGGAGACAGACAAAATTTCATAGAAGAATTAAGCCTGTTGACTCTGAGAAAGTAGGTAGGATCCTGAGAGCTGTCAGTGTGATCACCTGTGCATTAGATCCATGTCCTTTAGTTGGTCAAAGTCTCCCTAGGAAATCATGAGTTGGTGGGTCCAAGCAGTGGTAAATTCATCTTTGAGAGAGATGGTGGCTGTCTATCGTCTTCTTGAGAAGACATTGCAAGAAGACTGTACAATATTGGATAATTTCTGACCTGTCTCCCATTGGAGAAGATTGTTGAGAAGGTGGTCATTCTGAGGCTTAAGAAAACTGGAGGAAGGGGATATCTGGATCTGCTTCTGAATCAAGGCAGAGTACCAAACTAGCACTGATCTCCCATGATAAATCTAGGAAAGGACTGGGATGGGAGGTGAGGGTGGATCCATTCTGGGCCTCCCTGATCTCTGGCCTTTGATGGCATCAATAAATTGTATCCTTCTGAACTGGGTTAGGTTATTGGGAGTTAAGTCTGGTATTGTTCGGACCACCAGCCTGTCTTTTGAAAGGCTCTAAAAATTTGGCTTTAATTATTCTGGTTGTGGGACTGTGAGAAGTTGGCTCCTATGTGAGATGGCTTATTTTTTATTTCTCTTAAGGTTGCCCTGACTTTCTAATTGGACAGCTATAGAAAAATAAAAAATAAATATAAAATGAAATAAAATAAAATAAAATGAAATATAAAATAAAATAATAAAATAAAAAATAATAATAAAATAAAATAAAATGACTGAATAAGGCAAGCCCAAGTCTGCTTCCTAAGATGAAGAACAATGGAATCTTTCTCCCATTCCAAGTATGGATCTATCTGAAGTGAATCTCATTTCAGCTCTAATATGAGTTGAGAACAGAATCTACAAGCAGCCAACCAATTCAGACAGGCCATTTAGCATTCAGAGCGGTGTCTTCCAACTTCACTCTTCTCTCCCCTCTATCTGTCACCTAGACAATCTGATGATTGGGCTGATCCCACAGCTGAGATATCAAACAGCCTTCTCCAGTTTGTTGCCCCTTGGGTTGTCTTGATCTTTACTTTCCATAGTGCATGGCATGGACGTTTGTCATGGTGGCAGGCTAAAAGCCCAACACATCATGCTGAGGAAAGCTGGTGCAAATAATACAAGAAGCAAGCCTCTTGTATGGAGCTGCTGTAAGGGAATATTATTGCCAGGCAGATCAAGAACCTCTAGGGCAAAACAGGATTTATCCTATTGAGGACAATAGCATGGCATGATTTGATGTTTTTCTTACACCTGTAGATACTGTTTAGATGTTTGTCTTATAGCTGTATGATACTTTCAGCCAATTGAATATCTCTCAATGTTAGCATCACGACCAATGTTTATTTTTTATTGGATTCTTGCAATACCCTGGAGATTCAGCCAGGCTTTATTTACTGCAAAGTGGAAGAAGCTCACAGAATCATAGAATTGTGGAGTTGAAAGAAAGGACAAGGGTCATCTTCTAATCTAATCCTGGTGGGAGATGGAAGAGGAACACTTAGGGATATTGAGAAAACTATCTTCTGCAACTCCTATCCATTTCTGTGTCAACTTTGTGGCTACAAAAGCAAACATGTGAAGCGATCAGCCTTACCTCAACAAGACCTTGTAGGATCCTCACAAACATTACACAGCCAAAATGGACCCGAGCAGCTGAGGGAATCAGCATGTTCAAAGTAGAGGTTGCCACAATGGCAAAGCCAAAAACCCTACAACCAATAGAAGAGGGTGTTAGTAGAAGTAATAGCTAATAGCATTGTTTACTTTGTGCATGGAACTATTTGCATCATTCTCCTACGAAAGTGTTCTAGTTTAGAGTGTCTCTTTTCACTAATCATTGTTTACTTTGTGCATGGAACTATTTGCATCATTCTCCTACAAAACTGTTCTAGTTTAGAGTGTCTCTTTTCACGAATCATCTATTCAAAATCAAAGTTTCATTTTTTTCCACCCCAAGCACAAAGTCCAGAAGCGATTTCAAAGTAGAAACAAAAGTACTTATATATTTTTCTTTAATCAAAGCAGTCAACTACCTGTATGATTCAAATTGGCATCTTTAGAAAAGAACATGCAGCTTGAATTGTAACTGTTCAACTATAGTGTTGGACTGAGTCTATAGATTCAGATCAACTGAGACCTGATTTAATGGCATTTTTAAGAGTTGCTGGTCTCTTAACTTTCATTAGCCCAGCCAGGATGGCCAGTGGTGATGGGCAGCAGAAGACCAAGACACCAACATTTTGATGGCCGAAGATTCCCTAGCTCAGGGGTCCCCAACCCCAGTCCATGAGCCAGTACTGGGCCATGGCATGCCAGCAACAGGTCCTCACAAACAAGCAAAGCCCCATCCACGGGATGCAGGTAGCACACAAAACCATGTCCCTTCTGGTCCACGGAAAAACCTCTCTCCACGGAACCGGTCCCTGGTGCCCAAAAGGTTGGAGACCTCTGCCCTAGCTGATCTACACACAAACATATATTCTACTTCCCCCCTCAAAACATTTACCTGTTAGCTGCAAATTTCTGTGCTATGAACCCCCCTGGGATCTGAGTGACGATGTAACCCCAGAAGAATGACCCGTGGATCATGCCTACTGTCTCTGGATCCCAGTTGAACTCAGCTTTCTAAGCAGGAAAGGATAAGGAATAAAAGACAGAGGGACACATGAGCAGGCATTTCCTGATCAGAGCCACCTATAGTACCTCCTAGATAGGACTTGGAGCAACTTGGAGAAATGCAACTGAGAGAGTTTATCACATTCTGCAGAAAAGAAGAAGGAAGAAAAAGACTTGCAGAAAATCATTTCAGGTAAATGAAATTGTACATGAACCATTAAGTCCAGAAGTTCAACTTATTTACAGTACATGCACAGCTGACAGCACATATTAACCTGAATGGAGGCTGAAGAGAGTGTTTTTGAGAATGTGAAGAGTGAAGAGTGCATTCCTCTGTGACCTGGCACCAGAATACCCAGAATTAGGGGAAACACATAAGTGATTGTCAGCAGTGGTGGGATTCAAATATATGAACAACCGATTCTCTGTGTGAATTCTGCTTCCGGAAGTCCATTCTGGGCCTGGGCAACAAAAAATTAGCTACCAGTTCTGCCAAAGTGGTGCGAACCGGCTGAATCCCACCACTGATTGTCAGGCTTGTTCTCTCTTCCTGATGTTTATTTTTAGAAATTAAGCATCTGTTAAGTATTGTGTACATTTTGTTTTCTGTGTGAGTGGCGGCTTGTATTTTTATAAACCCAAGCTTCTCAGACTTCTAGAGCTTCGTCTTTGTCTGTTGAGCTGATGCATCCTGCACAATTCTAAAAAAGGTGCAGAATGTCTGTTGATATGAATGCCTTCCTAAACAAAAAACAAAAACCCTGAACCAAAAGACAGTTACTTTCCATTAACAGAGGACGAAAACAGCCTCACCTTCACAATGACTTTATCCCCTTCGTAGACGGTGTTATTATTAACCATGCTGACAATGGCCACACCCAGGTTGCATCGGATGCCAAAGCTGATGCAGAAACCCAGACCGCAGAGAATGGCAATGATGTAACGGCGAGGCAGGCCAAAGCAGGTGCAGTCTATAACGGGCTGGGTCTTCTCGGTCACTTCAACAGGCCGCCCCTCTTCTGTCAGCTCGATGGTCTCCCTGCCGGGTTGCTTCCGTTCTAGAATTCTGGGGGTGTAGAAGGCAGGCGGGGTGAGAACAAAAAATGGGTGAATGTGACAAAATTAGCACTTTGATGTAGTGGTAAAGGTGATGAACACCAGGAAATCAGGACTTGTAGTCTTCACTTAAGCATGAAAGCTGGTGACTGCCTTTGGGCCAGTGGCTGTGATTCACTTAACAACCACTTTGCCCTAGCAACTAAAATTTTGGTTCCAATTGTGGTCCTAAGTAAAGGACTATCTGTATTATGTTCAGTGAAAAATCTAGACAGATTAGAATGATTAGAATAGAATAGAGCTGGAAAGGGCCTTGGAGGTCTTCTAGTCTAGCCCCCTGCTCAAGCAGAAGGACCTATACCATCTCAGACAAGTGACTGTCTAGCCTCTTCTTAAAAATCTCCAGTGATGGAGTGCCCACGATTTCTGGAGGCAAGCTGTTCCACTGGTTAATTGTTCTCACTGTCAGGAAGTTTCTCCTTAATTCCAGGTTGCTTCTCTCTTTGATCAGTTTCCAACCATTGTTTCTTGTCCTGCCCTCTGGTGCTTTGGAGAATAACGTGACCTCCTCTTCTTTGTGGCAGCCCTTGAAATACTGGAATACTGCTATCATATCTCCCCTATTTCTTCTTTTCTTTAGACTAGCCAAACCCAAGTCCTGCAGCTGTTCTTCATATGTTTTAGTCTCCAGGCCTTTAATCATCCTAGTTGCTCTTCTCTGGATTTTTTCCAAACTCTTTTTTTTTTTTTTTGTGATATGGTGACTAAAATTGGCTGCAGTATTCCAGGTGTGGTCTTACTAGGATTTTATAAAGTGGTACTAATACTTTGCGTGATCTTGATTCTATGCCTCTGTTTATGCAACCCAGGATTGTATTAGCTTTTTTGGCTGCTGCTGAAAACTGCTGGCTCATGTTTAAGTGATTGTCCACTAGGGCTCCAAGGTCCCTCTCACAGTTACTGTTTTTAAGCCAGGTCTCCCCCAATCTGTACTTATATCTTTGATTTTTCCTGTCTAAATGTAAAACTTTGCTTTTCTCCACATTGAAACTCATTTTGTTGGATAGGGCCCATTGTTCAAGTTTGTCAAGATCTTTTTGGATCCTGAGTTTGTCTTTTGTGGTATTGGCTACTCCTAACAGTTTAGTATCATCTGCAAATCTGAGGAGTTCCCCTTCAATTTCCTCATCTAAGTCATTTATGAAGATATTGAAGAGTACTGGGCCTAAAACAGAACCTTGTGGTACCCCACTGCTTAATTTTCTCCATGTGGATGAGGTGCCAGGATGACAGAACTCGTCTTCAGATTCAGTGTTAAAGACGAATTTCTTGTCAGGGATGATATAACAATACAGGTATTATAGCAGAAGGCTCATATTTAACTTATAACAAGATTGCCCAGGCATTCTTCATTAAGGCCTCCATCTCTGGGCTGCGGAGACCCACATGCCTGTTAGATGGCAGCAAAGGAGTTTCGTATTTTTGTGGCCGTATTTTTTTTATTTTATATATTTATTTTAAAATCACTCCATTAACTGATTCTAAGGCATACAGCTGGATGCAACTGCACAAAGTTCTGTCTTTTTTTTTTTTTAACAAATATTGTGTATTGCAACACACATCAAAATACGGAGGACTTCCATCATGCAGGTGTGGCCTCCATCTTCTTCTTGTCATTTGATCTCTCTCTCTCTGCAAACTTCCCTCAATATAGCTATGTGTTTTACAAGCTTCTATTTTTTTTTTAACCAAATAAGAATTATATTTTGACCTCCTTCCTTTGTAAATACAAGGGAAGGCAGAGATTCAATTTATGCCTTCCTGGTGCTCATCAGAATTCACTGACTCTTGTGAGTTGGTGAGCAAAAAAGAGAGAAAAACTCAATTGCTTTCATATATGCAAAATAAGAGATTTATCTTGGACAATACCAGGCATAAAATCAATAAAACGAAATCAATAATGTAGGGAAGAGCACTGTTTCGTGACTGGCAGATGCACCTAGCATGGGAACAGATTCTACCATAGGAGGCAGGCTAACGATGCCAGGAGTGTTGAATTGTCCCGTAACTATGGGGAAGGGGATATACATGGGCAGGTCAGTATATTTCCTTTCCTAGGGAAAATTTGGTACAGTTACTTTATTTTAGAAAAACAAAAACCCTAAACTAAATCTATTTTTGGTCTTGGCAACTTTCATGCACGTCTTATCTCAGATGGGCAAGAAAGCCTCTCATCAAGGAACTAATGCAGGAGAGAAGCAACTTAGAACTAAGGAGAAATTTCCTGCAATTAAAACAATTTAATCTGTGGAACGACTTGCTTCCAGAAGTTGTGGGTGCTCCAACACTGAAGGTTTTTAAGAAAAGATTAGACAGCCATTTGTCTGAAATGGTGTAGGGTTTCCTGCTTGAGCAGGGGGTTGGGCTAGAAGACCTCCAAGGTCCCTTCCAACTTTATTATTCTGTTATCAATTTTTGGCAGTACTAGGGGTACTACCAAGGGGGTCTGCTGGTGGCCCTGGGACTGCCTTACAGGCCGGTCCTGGTCTAATGAATGGAAAGGGGAGTTTGGCCTGCTTCCCAACCTGTACTGAAGAATTAATAGACTCTGTTTCACTGTAAGCAGAGTGACCTGTAACTAGGCGGCTGTGAGAAGGATTTGCAAAAGTTCCCTCCCGCCAAAGATTGTAGAGAAGCTTGGAGCCCTCCCAAGTCCTTGTCCGTCACCAGCCTCTTCCTGCTCTTCCATACTGTCTTGTCAGCCTGGTGGAGAGGCGGGTGCAACCCACGCAGAAGCTGTTCTGAGCAGAGCCGATGCAGATGGGCAGCAAGCTCCGTCTCGGCTCCAGGCCCAAGAATTCTTTTTCTTGCTTAGCAACCAAGGAACACGGTCCTCAGTCCTGCTTTTCCTGACCCTCTCTTCCCTCATCCCAAAATTCTCCCTGCCCTTCTTCTAAGTCTTCCGTACCTCTCCTGCCTTCCTTTGCCTGGCAGGAACGCAATGGTAACGTTTCAGTCCTGGCACGAAGGAAATTTTCTACATCTTTCTGAAACTCCCCAGTGCTTAGGAGACCAGATGGACAGAATGGCCTGTGTTCATTTTCTCAACCTTAAGATCATTGCATTCCATTTCTGCCTGTTTTTTTTTATCCTTTTCCTTTGGGCTGCTCCCCCCAAATCATACATATTTCCCTGTACATTTTTCTCATTATTGTATTTTTGCACACTGCCTACCAATTTTCTTGGTACTGTCATATACTATTTGATTGAATTTTAATGCAATGTTTGCAAATATATGCATCGTTTCCCTAATATGCACATTCTGAATGCCTTAAAAAAGTAAGAACACTATTGCAGAATACAGAGAGGTGTGAATATCAAAGAACCACTGTATTTTTGTCTCACTCGGGAAGTGCTAATTTGGTAAGTTTAGTAAAATTTCACCTCCGTTTCTACTTCTGGCCTCTATTTCTACCATTTTCTGTTCCTTTCATTAATTACTGAATTATTTATTAAACCTGTGAAACTAGTTGAGATGCATCTAACACTAGCGAAAAAGAAATGGGACATGGGATTTGTGGATTTATAAAACACCCCTTTGTCTTTCCAGATTTTTAACTCCAAATTCTTAGTTGAAATTTCCAGGTACATGCCGGAGGTATAAATACACTTGCCATCAATACAGGTGGTCCTCAACCTACGACCACAATTGAGCCCAAAATTTGTATTTCTAAGCGAGACAATTTTAAAGTGAATTTTACCCCATTTTACAACCTTTCTTGCCACACTTGTTACGTGAATCACTGCAATCGTTAAATTACTAATACAGCTGTTAAGTGAATCTGGCTTCCCCATTGACTTTGCTTGTCAGAAAGTCGCAAAAGGGGATCACATGACCCTGGGACACTGCAACCGTCATAAATATGAGTCAGTTGCCAAGCATCTTAATTTTGATCACATGGGATTCTGGGATTCTGCAATGGATGTATGTGTAAAAACAGCCATAAATCACTTTTTTTCAGTACCGTTGTAACTTTGGTCACTAAATGAACTGTTTAAATTGAGGACCATAAAAAATGGAGACCTTTATAGAGGTTGGACTGCAAATCTTGTAATTCCAAGCTGTGATGGCCAATGGCGATGCTTCTTGTTTCTAAGGTTTGACATCACTCTTCTATTCCCACCCCTTAGAAGAGAATCTGTTCATGGATTGGCTGAATTGACTACACTGGGAGAATACCAGTGACACAGTAATTTTTTTCCACAGACAACACCCATTTTAGGAATTTCTCTCCGATATCTTTCAACAAAAGTCAAACACACAAAATTTAACCCATGAATTCCTGTCAGTACGGTATAATGCCACCTCTCTACTTTTCTAAAAATTAGGGGAGCATACCTGAACAATAAGGTGACCAACCGTCCTCCTTTAGGGAGGACAGTCCTCCTTTTGTAAGTTCTGTCCTCCCTCGAAAAGTGTCCTCCTACATGTCCTCCTTTTTAATATTTGAAGACTAATCTGCAGGGCTTTTTTTTCTCATAGAACGCTCAGAACGGCGTTCCGGAACCTTTTTTTGATGGTTTTTTTTCAACTTTTGCATGAGCTGTGCTACTCCCCCTATTGGCTTTTGAAAGCCAATAGGAATTGCTGCTGAGCGTGCCAAACACCCAACCGGCAAACTTTGCACATGCAAGTTGTCTGCAGCGAAGGCGAATTGGCAGGAACTTTGCACCCCTCCCTGCTACCCAACAACACCATCTCTTAGTTCCGAAGATACCGTGCTGTGGGAACCGCGGGGCCCTCTCTACACGGGGCTGCATAGGGTGGGTGATGGTGCTGGCGGGGTGGCTGCAGGTGGGGTATGTCGATGGCGGGCTGCCCCCCAGGGCCGGAGCTGGCGCGGCTGATGCTTTGGGAGCCATGGGGCCCACTCTACATGGCAGGGCAGTGGTGCTGGCGGGGCGGCTGCGGGCGGGGGCGCAGCAGGCGGTTGACCTTCCATGGACCGA